GGAAAAAAAAAAATCACCGAACAATCCGGAACATCGTCGCACTCCATGCGTAAGCCATAATAATGCATCTCGCATTGTTTTGAGGAGATATCAGAGTTCTCGAAACTTTGTGCCCTCAAATTTTCTCCTGACTTTCCATTCTCGAATCCTTCGATGTTAACATTCCTGAATGTTTACAACAAAAACTCTCGGCGAATCTAAAATTTTAATATTGAATTAAAATAATATTAAAAAATAAATATTAGCATTATCATATTAAAAAAATTTTTAATATAAAATCTATGTGCCTCGACTTTGTCATTAAGAAAAAAAAGTTGCGATTATGGAAGTATTGATATCGCTCTGTACAATGATGAGAGCTGAAATACTTTGCATCGAGAAACACAAGAATCCACGAAAGTTTCAATAAACGAAAACAAAGACTTTAATCAGACTTCGCATTCGCATGCTTCCTCAGTACAATGTGAGTGTAATCCGACCCTTGTCTCCTGCTTCGCTCGCCACCCTGGCCGCTCTAATAAATTGCAGTACCGACCACGTGGATCATGCGCTACGCGACGGCGGGGCCTCGCGAAGGAGGAGAGACAAGGCAGAATGCGGTGAAAGCGAAAGACAGACGCGATTCTATGTACGCATGCAGCATACATATGCACGTATGCAGCCGTCAATGACGAACAGGACACGTATTATACAGTACCGTACCCTGTTTCCCTGTCGTACGTACAGTTTTAACTTTACAAATTGTATTCGAAAATTCTTAATTTATTAAAGTTGTTTAATTTTTTGACTTACGAGATATTTTCTCATGAAAAATCTCATAAGCATCTTTTAAATCGCCGACTATTTAATATATTTTTTTATTCAATGCAAATTTACTTATAAATTGCATTTAAAAGACGCGCACAAAACGAACTATCCATATGTGTTAATATATCATTATATCTGTTGAATAGAATGGCCAATGGTACTCTCAGTTCAGAATTAAAAATAGAAAATCAGTTAATGTCATGTAACCTACATTATTACATTACTAAGAATATATGCTTCTTAGAATACACGTGTCGAACAATAAAAACGTCTGACATATATTCCGCAAAATAAATTCGCGATTATCGTCTGAACATCGCAACATCATTGTTTTCGTGAACTACTAAAAAAGAAGAGATAACTTTATCCTTACCAAATAACTTGCAAAAGAATCATTAGGAGAAATCGATATTAGAAGCATCTCTCGTGTTTATGGGCTTTAGCGAAATCTACAAGAGCGTTTAACGCAATGCTGGGGTAAGCTCGCGCGCTCGTGCGATCAAACGCGCGTGTAGCGGTGTATCCATGATTCGCACGCGTGCAAAACGTCCACAGGTCACCGCGTCCTTTGCACCCTCTTTCTTGCTTCCCTTCGCGATCTCACTTCCTCTTCCTGCCACCCTTTGTCCCTTCTGCCTCGTCTTCGTTCTTCGATCTCACGCACTTTCTTTCTCTCTCTCTCCAGTTCCTCTCTCGGTTCTCTCTCTTTTACAAACAATGGCGTATCACACAGTTTCTGCAAATAAAATTTTAATATCTAAATGTTGCACCTAAGTTACGGATAATTTTTAGTAAGCAGTCTTAGCATTTTTTAATTAAATAAAGTTTTTTGCAGAAAATCAAGAGAAATCTCTTTGCAATATTGCAATTTTATGTTAAAATATCAACAATTTTCTACAACTTACATTTCTAATTTATGTTTAACATATCTAATATTAAATTCATGCTTAATCATCGGTTTAAGTCTGTTCAAGCTGATGAAATTGGTTGCAAGAGCGAAATTATGATTATTCATAATAACGTGTGAATTGATTAGGTAAAAAAAGAGCTTATCAACTCAAATTTTAAAATGAGAATCGTCAATCACGGCCTTTGAGAAACCATACACGGTAAAATCAACAACATACACATGATAAGTATTTTCGATTTGGATACCGAGCTTGATGCTATGCCATGAATGCGATAAGAGCGCTATAGATTAATATTGCTCGGAATACACGATAACACATTTACGAATTTAACAGAACATTGCGTTAATGTTAACTATACAATTTCGTCAATATTTGTTAAAATTAATAAAAATGCGCACAAGTTCCAGAAACTTAAATCTAACATCATGTTAAAAATGAGGGAGAGTTAACGATAATAATTAACGTCGAAATGTTATCGAAATTACACATTTGTATAGTGGGCACCGGAGTACGAAAGGGATAACATATCGAATGACGAAGGTTCAGTGAGCGCAGACTACGCCCATGCAATCTCCCGCGACCGTCGTCCCACCGTCCCGCTCGCCTCCTCGCCACGGAGAACTACACGCGCGAGGCGTATGCGCCGACCACGCCAACAGCCTCCACGTGCTGCCGAACGACACTCAGCCGCCCCAAATTGTAGGTCGCCGCCGTCGATTCGCGAGGAAGGGGAACGGAGGGCAGGCGATAGCACGACGACGGTCGGGGACGGGAAAGGGTGATGGAAAGAGAAGAGCAGAGGGGAGTCCGGATCGTGCGCCCGTGCGTGTGCGCTACGACCGTGATCGCTCGCTGCACGGCCAAGGAAGTAAACATTGTACAGTACGATTGGCCGGCCCCGAGGCGGCAGGTCTTTCGCTTTTCCTTCCTGTCCACTGTTTTTGAGAAGAGAAAGAAGATTCTTTTTTCTTTTTTTTGAAGTGTTTACGCGATTTTCGCTCACGAGTTTTGCTTCACTTCGAATTAATCTCTCGATCGTTGGATTGAAATCCGGATCCTTCTTTCGCCGAATCTCCCGCCGTTAACTTTCGCCGCCGCTACCTCTCATTTGGATGTCGCTAAAGCGAGAATCAGTGATAACCAGCGCCCAGAGAGTGGAATACGCCGAGGTGTAACGTGACGCAAACAGGTAAGTGCTTTAAATATTTTATCATTTCAATCTTACTATTTATCTTTTGGTTTTTAATATTATCTACCTTTCCTTTACCTTTAATATTATCTCCAAGCATATATCTTCCGGTGTTGAGATCTATATCATCTATACTTTGTCTTCTATTTTTTAACTGAGATAACAGATCTTCCGCTTTACAGAAACCGATTTCCTTGGCTTTCTTTCATCCACGAATTCCTAATAATTTACATATATATTTATTTTTTACAAATTCTCAGGTTATTAGATAAATCTTATTTCCACAAATTTTTCTATACAGAACTTTAGCTTGGATATATTCATTAATCTCATAAACTTATTTCCCAACTGTTAACAATGACAAAAATAAAACAATTTCATTAAATTAAGCCAAATAAGATACCTTTGCCAAATAAGATACCTAGATTGCATCTGTAATTCCTAAATGATCTTTTCTTCAATTTTGATCTCAAACCAATAAAAACCAAGGTATTATATCACGTGGTCTGCGATAAAATGTTGAAGAAAGAGCATGGTGACATATTGATAACACGGTACATTTTTAAAGCGACATGACAGTCAAGTAACCTGATCCAATCTTTTTCAAACCCAAGTTGCATCATATTTAGTTTCCAATAGCCCTCATTTCGTTTCTGGTACACATGAACCGATTGCACAAGAATCCTCTTTCCTGAAACATGTAATTGATTTAAAACTGTATATTTCATTTAAATGCATCACATCATTAAAAATTAAAAACAATTTTTACACATTTTTTATAGTAAAAATCTCGGCATATGTATAATATAATAAGAGTATTGTAAAAGGAAAAAATTATAGATCCCTTACATTTATAAACCTTAAAATCTAAAACTCACAAATTTCAACATGTCATTAGCGGATGTATAAAATGAGAATTAGATAATATTGTAATTTACGAAATCGCAACAAATGTTTCAAACGTTTTTGAAAAAAAAAAATAAAACTACGAGATAAAAGTTTGGTTAGTTTTCCTTGCTTAAAACAAAAGAATCTGTTTACTCGGGACATGAATAGGGCGAAAGGCGCGGCTCCATCATAAAATTCGGCTGAGTATCTTCCGGTCGTGAGCGGCGGCGGTTTGGTCGTAGGGCGAGATTTCCCCTCGGTACGGGGGATGTTTCCGTGGATCAATACGATTTTTGCGTATCCCTCTATGCGTGGCCATACTTGTCATAGGACGCCGATTAGCGGGGCTCGGCTTTCGAAGAAGAAGGCAGCACGAGTTGCGTCGAAAAAGAGGTAAAAAGGGAGGGGAGCGAAAAAAGAGCGTATCGTACGCGATTATCGTCGGATGTGTGTGCCGTAGAGCGCTCCTCTTGTGATGTAACTCGACGTCCTTACTGCGCGCCGAGTTGGACGAGGTCGGTGATCGCTATAAAAAAATGCGGTTCGTACACGTGGAGGCGGTCGCGCGGGTTTCGACCGCGGCGTGCGAAAGGCGGCTCGCGGCGGGGTGAGGCGCACGATGCTCTTGCGGCGCGACCGCCGACCACGCCCGCGGCCTCCCGTATCCGTCGTTGCATGATAACGCCGCGCGCGTGTGCAGGTGTTTTGTTCTGCATAGTGTAGCGTACTATTTTGGAGGTTGTACCTAATTCAGAAAACAAAAATATATTATCTACTTATTTACAAACACTCTAGATTTTTACCTTAAACTCTAATTCCTTGGAAAAAATACCGGGGTAAAATACTTGGCGTTATCACATTTCAACGCAATGCTTAATTTCATGTATACTTACATATTTGTGATTAAGCGCAGAATATCTTTGTTCTCTTAATTGCGATGAATCTCACAATGAGCGATGTACATCCTTGTTTTTTTTAATTGTTTGTTTTATATCTGTGAATTATAAAACAAAAATATGAAATAAACATTGTAAAACTAGTATTTTTTAATTTTCCGCTTTACAATGTGCGGTTTGTATATTCTTGAGAATTCTAAATATATTAAATTGTATTTAACGAATTATATTTAACGAACACGGCAAATCGTACGTACGTATGTACGGGTGCAATCATGCATTTTTCTCTTCATATTTACAATCTTATCTCTTAAAGATAATATAATTTAAAAGTATTCCGATATCACGTCTTGTAATTATTATTAAAATTTTTTATGATTTCGTGCTTAGATATGACGTTATAACACAGTTAATCGTAAATTGTAACTGCGTTACATAGCGTTACATGTATCGAATTAACTTGCAACATGAAGACACGACTTATCCAAGAACATTTGGATAATTTATCTTGCGGAATTTACGATCTTGCGAAACCAAAAGTATGCAGTTGCAACAATTCACGCAAGTGACCGAATACTTATGTAACCGAAACACTACAGAAATTGCGCACTTTGCTCTCGATTGTGGCTTACCGTACATTTGTACGAACTTGTTTCATGCAAATGCGATAAATCAAATCACCCGTAATATAATCTCATGTCGTTAAATACACACATTATTACACACGTTACGAAATATTCACCTAAACGATTTGACTAACCGTTCCAATGTTTTCGTTCCAGTCTCTCGTCATCTTCGATGTTGGGTTACTACCAGACAGAATCAATGCCGAATCCAGCGATGTCGATGTCGATGCCGATACCCGGCGGTATGGCCACCAGTCCGGAAACGATGAATCCGGTGAAGAGCCTGGTGTGCAGTCCGGATCTCACGATATTCGCCGCGCCGAGGTGCAGCAGCGCGGAGACCGCGGAGGCCGTGGATCCTGCTAGCCCGACGATAGCGGTAGCGGGGAAGTATCAGTGTATGGTTTGTCAGAAGAGCTTCGCGCAGAAGAGCATGTTCCAGAGTCATCTGAGGTCACACGGTAAGGAGGGCGGAGATCCCTACAGCTGCAACATCTGCGGCAAGACGTTCGCCGTGCCGGCGCGGCTGACGCGTCACTTTCGCACCCACACCGGCGAGAAGCCGTATGAGTGCGAGTACTGCAGCAAGTCGTTTTCGGTGAAGGAGAACCTCAGCGTGCATCGGCGCATCCACACGAAGGAACGGCCGTACAAATGCAACATTTGCGGACGCGCGTTTGAGCACAGCGGCAAACTACATCGTCACATGCGTATCCACACCGGCGAACGGCCGCACAAGTGCACCGTGTGCGCCAAGACGTTCATACAGAGCGGCCAGCTGGTGATACACATGCGTACGCATACCGGCGAAAAACCGTACGTGTGCAAGTCGTGCAAGAAGGGCTTTACCTGTTCGAAGCAACTGAAGGTGCACACGCGCACCCACACCGGCGAGAAACCGTACACCTGCGACATTTGCCGCAAGGCGTTCGGCTACAACCATGTCCTCAAACTGCACCAGGTATCACACTACGGCGAAAAGGTGTACAAGTGCACGATCTGCAACGAGACCTTCGGCTCCAAGAAGACGATGGAGCTGCACATCAAGAAGCATCCGGAATCGCCGGCGTCCGTCACAACCGCCATCACCGACAACAGTATCTCCTCACCCGCGACGATCGGCTTGCCGATTGAGCCGGATATCGAGATCTCCCAGGCCGGCGACGGAGGCGGCGGAGGAAGAAGTGACGGCGGCACCGGTCTTGGTCCAACCGTTGTACCGATGAGTCCGAGTCTACCCGGTATCGTTGCGGATAATAAGGAAGATTTGAAGACTGAAGAGGCCTATCCGGATTCGACGACGAGCCCTTACGCCGTTCAGCGCGACTTTGCGTACTACCTGTATTCCAACACTCGGGAGCAGCAGCAATATCCACAACCGATGGTTGCACCGCCGTTGAACCCGACGGAACCAATGCTGACTGATATCGACGAGAAGCGCTTCCAGGCGAGCGTAGTGGTGACGACGCCACTGGAACCGGCGGGCCATCGCATGTTCTTCTATCCCGAGTCGGCGTATAGCAGCTTAGGCCTGTCCGCTGGTGGCGGCGTAGACCTTGACGCCACCGACTGCTCGCCTCTGTTACATCTGCCGGGTAACGATGCGCGTCGCAAGGTCGAGGCCGCCTTGAAGGCTGTTGAAGAGGAGCGTCAGAGGCAAGAATACGGCGGGATCGTCAAAGTCGACCAAGATCCTTTACTCACACCGCCGAACAGTAATCCCGAGAGCCCGGTGTCATCACCGGAGCTAGCGCTGGACCTGGCGATTCCACCGCGGGAGACGCTCATTCTGCCGCCCAGGAAACGCAGCAAGATGATCCTTCAGTCCATGGAGAGCGAATACAGGAGCAGGAATGGCCTAATGGCGGCCTCGCAGAGGCAGAGCTCTGTCATTCAGTTCGCACGAACCTCATAGTGAACACTCTGAAGCCTATGAAGCTTTGAAGACCACGTGATTTCAGGAACTGAACGAAAGTTTCTCCCGAAGCTAGTGACGTCAAAGTTGAGAGCTGTAAGAAATTATTCTTCGGTTAGCAAGTTTGTAAAAAAAAAAATTCGGGAAACTTAGAAACTTACACGAATCCCGCTGGTCTTCCGACGATTTCAGTGATAATCGCAAAGCGCGCAAACAACAGACGAATAATTGAAACTGCAATTCCGGGAGGCACGATGGCTTCTTGTTATTTCCGAGATCGGACAGTAAAAAGGTGCCCAAACGTGCCTCTTCAGCGAATCTTGAATGTAACGCGAGTGTATTGCAGCTCGTTGGCCGTCTTATCTTTCCATTCATAATCTGCAAAAAAAAAAAACTGCTCACGCTGAGTCAGTTGAAGTTGAAGCCGCTTTCGTTACTTAATAATAATTAATAATAATTAATAATAATTAATAATAATTAACGCAGTCGGTGAATTGCGTGTATTTTCCTAATAGCTTACGAGCGACAACACTCGCGCCTACTTCTCAATCTTGTTCGATAGTCTCTCAGCTTTTAAGACTTTAATAATACATGCAGGTCGGATGCATGTCGGATGCATAGTAAGAGGTAAAGAGATATTCTTCGATGGCACAGATCGCATTGTGCTCGATGAAGTAGTTGCGCGAACATGATACGCGCACGCAAATCGCTCGACAACAAAGGAACGTAATTCCGCAAAATCAAATTATTTAAAAAAATTGAGATAATTTTTTTTTTAAGTGGAAATTATTTACAAATGCAAAGCTTTTCCTATAAAAGTCGAAACATAATTTACGGCTACACCAAATATATTTTTTTTAAAAGTTTATTAAATTTTATGTATAATTTTAATTCGTATGTTATATTTATATATTATATTTATATGTTATATCTATGTGTTATATCTATTTCATTTGTGTTGTTTTTATATTTTAAGAGGGCGACATATTTTCTTGTAATTCTACGTTCTTTTAACATCGAGCGATTCGTATGCAGCGTCCGAACGCCACAGGTGTCTGACTCACGATTTTTAATGTTCTTAATGTTTTTTAACGTAATTTAAATACGGAAAAACCTGTGGCAGCGAGACGGACCGTTAAAATATCAGTTAGATATCTATGGCACGTAGCTACTGTAAACTTATTTTATACGGCAGCTATTGCCAGCAATATAGCGGTCAGTATATCCAACGTACAAACTGATTAAGGGTATATTTTCATCGGCCAACTCTTGAAATAACTGTCGCTAGCCACACAACTGCCGAATGTTGCGATCAATAATGGACTTTTACGCAATTATCGACCAATATAATATAGAAGGGAGTTGGCCGTTTAAATGTACAACGTTGAGCAGTGAATGTAAGGCGCGGTTATTGTAACTCGGACGTTCGTGCGTATTACCTCATCGCCACACGCGAGCGATGGCCCGTGCGCCACGCCTGTTTTTTTCGAATAATTTATCTACCCACTTTTGGGTCTAACTTTCGACGTATCGTATATGTGTCCTGTGTAATAGTCTAACACGTGCCGATTGACTCGCCCTTCGCAGTGTTAAATGCACTCGCGAAGGTCGGATACCTAATCTCTTGCCAGCCTTAACAAGACTGACGTCAGTCTACCTCGTTAACGTCACAATCCGGCTGAACGGGGAGCCGCCAATGTTTGTCGATCGTCGTCGTCGTCGATTGAACACGTCGAACGATAAAGGCAAACAACAAATTTACGGATAGGTCAAACGTGCAATTTCATTTTTAGCATATAATTTATTTCGGGCAGATTGTTCTATGCTTGAAACTTTGAGCAATTGGGAATACATTTACATCCAAGATTTTAAATTACTAAACGTATAAAAAATTACTTTTAAATTCCTCTATTTTTGATACTCGAGAATTTTATTCTTTCAAATTTTTTCAACTTTTAACTTTTTTTCGAAAGGCTAGTTTTTGCTACGAGTAGAAATAAATTGCTCGGCGACAATTGTTGATCAATTTGTATTTTAATGTATAAAAAAAAAAATTACCGTTCGCTCGACGACGACACCACCGGAATCTCTCATGTATCAAACGTTCGGACCGGATGGACGAATTTTATCCGTCGACGACTCATCAGGAAATTTAGATAAACTCTCAAGGACTCGCGGCCAGTCTCGCTAACGTCAGCCAAATATAACTACAGTCCAATTCACTCTTTCTGCTGCCTTCCAATCTTAATTACTAAAAAAAAAAAACGAACTCAGTTATAAGCTAAGATCAATATTAATCGACTCTGGTGAAACTGGCTGTGTGTCTTTGGGAAATTTTTGAATTTTGCTCCCGAAAAACCACAATCATGCGCTTTTGATTGTATTATTGTATATTTATATGTAGGTATATATAGACAGTTTGTGAAATGTACGGAACAATGACGACAAATCGGGTTGACGAGAAGGCAAGGAAGGAAAATTCGGTTCTTGATGGTATCGTCGAAATCGTTTATCGCTTTTGTGAGGATTTGAAATCTGTCGTTATTTAATGCGTGGAAATTAGTATGTAATGTATTAATCGGCGTAGCCAGACGATACCGCTGCGGAATTATAAGAAAAAAAGGACAACAATCTACGAGAGAAAGAATGACAATGAGGAAGAAGATGGAGATGGAAAATGAGGAGAAAACGTGCACCAAACAATTTAATATCTCTGTGATAAGAACTCCATAGTACCAGAGTATTGAGCGGAGCCGAGCCCACTGCCAGTACAAGCGTATATGTGCACATGCATGCTAGTGCGATGCAAGACACAATGACACACTATCACGGCGACAACAATACAACAGCACGATGGAATTCCGTTTGGCAAAAAGATCTTGCAAAGATTTGGCAAAATCAACTTTCGCAAATTTTTTCGTTTTGTAAAACTCGAAATTAAGTCCACATAATTCTGCAGAACATTTTGCAAACTTTGCAGAATACTAGAGATTCAAAATCCTAAACATAAATCTCAGATTTTAAATTCTAAATTCTAGATGCATAATTCTTATATTTTGTAGAGATCATAAATCGTGAAACTCCTTGATTATTTGATTGATTCTTGAAAGCTCCATTTAAATGTATTTATATCAGCCTGGCAAACTGAGTTCCATCGCAAATAACATTGATAATAATAAGAACATACGCCCGCTCGCGACGCCTGGCTACCGTAACATGCGTGTACATATATGCGTTCACCTAAATTTATAACAATATAAAACGAGTAGTGTAACTTATACCGTGTATACATTACATTGCCGTGAAAACGCACCGCGCGGCCCACTTTCGTTACTCTCGATGCTTTTAGCGTTGATAACAGTGCAATCGTAATTTTAAGGTTGATTGGTCTCGGACCATATCCTGCGAATACGTAACTCTTCCATGGAGTACTTTTTGGAAACAATGTTTCGAAGTAACATAATATGATGCCGCGGCATCAAATTCTGAAGCTGGAATTCGGAAGACAACCAAGGAGGAGTTAAGGAGAGAGCTTGTTGATTGATTACGTATGAATTAACTTTGAAAGTTTCAAAATTTTAACGTTGAGATAGACCTGGATTACTCCCTGGTGACAATTGTTATGGCGAACGTGGGCCGAGCGGTGTAACGCGAGTCGATAATTAATTATTAAGTATTACATTAATGACGAAAGAAAGAGTAGCGTAATGACGTCACTATTGCTAGCATATAATGCTTATTATTATTATTATTATTGTCAATATTATTATTATATTATTATTATTATTATTATTATTATTATTATTATTATTATATTATTAATTATTATATATGTATTATATATATTGTAAAGCCGTGCATGCCGGTGAAACAAAAGCTACTTTGTTTCAGCTGGCGTGTGGAACTGATTATATGTAAAAATATCATTTTTGTAAAAACGAAACACCATTTCGCTACGCATTTTTTCATTTTATTGCGTTCATTGTTAGGATCATCATCTGAATATCCTTTTTCGCGAAATCGAAAGAGAGCAACCTATTTCGAAGTACAAGCGGGGGCCCCTTCTTAATTTTAGAGCGTTGTGAAAGTTGTATAAAAATTTATTATTGTTTTTGTATTTATAAAATTTAATATAAATGAATAAAACAAACTGAGTTTCCAAATGTTTTCTTAGTATACTTAGTGTCTTTCCTTAACGATTCTAATTTATACATCTTCTATTTTTACACAAATGCATGTTCTTTACGTTGCTTTGTTGGAATTAATTATTTTCGAATTTACTTAACTTTTTTTCCTCTTTTTTTCTGTCAAAAATATTGTTACTGTGTTTTATTAATTAATTTTTCAAAATGTAAAATATAAATAAAAAAAACGCATATATTGCGTTCATTTATATTCTACTATTTATAATTATGAATGCATTTAAAAGTTCAAAGAGTTCAAACATTTAAGATTCCAAAGAATCTCAGTATAAATTTAGTTACATTTCAAAAATTAACATTTTTATATAATTGTATAAAAGTATCATTAATAATTTCATAAAGATGAAAAATATATAATAGCGTCTACCAAATTAAATTTGGCAAAACGATTAAAAACGATAAGATTAAAGTGCGATAAAATATGATAATTGTTATAGAATTTATTCTTCTACAAATAATTTCTGCATTGTGTGAGTTAAACAGTTCATGCAAATAAATCATAATATAATAAAGAAGTCTTAGACAATATAATATTTTCCATGAGTACTTACGCGCTCCAATCTGCTTGTGCATAGGGCAAATGCAGCCCTATGCAACGTGCATTGCAGTGTGCATTGCAGGCATCGAGCTCACTTGTTTTCGCTCCCAGAGATTTCGCGCATTGCATGTGCCGCAGGGTGAGTTAGTAATAAAAGTGCTAAAAAATGTTGAAAAGTTTGAGCATTTCAGACAGAGTTTAAATTTTGATATCAAATGTAAAATAATTTGAACTTTTTGTGGTAAAAATATGTTTGATCAGTTCGAACTGTTTGGTTCAACTTTAAATTAAAAAATTAAAAAATTGTTATTATATTTTTATTATAATTTGAATATTTTAAGTATTTTAACATGACTTTTTTCGTATGCATTATACTGCACAATGATGCAAAATGCCATGTAATCATTACAAGGATAAACAATTAATTTCTTACAAATAACAATTTATAAACAAATGATAAATTGCTTACTTTAAAAATATTCCATCAAAACACTACTTTCTGGACCTTCCCCTCCTCTCAATGGTTTATCAATGCTTTCACTGAACCTTACATTGTATACTCATAAATCATGAAAACTCATAAACCTGCTCATAAACCTCAGTAGTCGTAAAGTAGCAGTGAAATACTTTAATGCGCAACTCGGTGAGAGTTATTTGAACGCTATCACCTTGCTACTAGTCAAGTAGAATAGAGGGAGCGGGAAATCATTCTACATTATGTTTTTATACCTCAAATCGCGATCGCGATAAATATTAGACTGTCGAAAATATTATTTCCGATAAACAATTACTAATTCGCAATTTGTGCAGTTAATTACTTCTTAAACGCATTTAAAAATATATATTTTACTTTTTATACTTGAAAAACACGAAAGCTTTTCCAACACTACAAAAGTACTTCAAGTTTAGCATAATTGCGATATGTAGCACATGTAATTTTTTATTTTCCACTTGCTTGTCTACTTTAGACACTGAGTGTCGAATGGAATAACTCCGTGCAATTTCAGATTTTTGTTGAGAGTTTTTTCTATGTCAAGACCGACAAAGTTTGTTGTTACTATCAATAGTGTCATACAAAATACCATGCAATTATATTTTTGTGAGTGAATGAGCTACGAAAAAACAGCCATTGATGGACCATCGAGAGAAGGAAATCCAGGAAGCATCAGGCATCAGCAAAGCAACTAGGGTGAGTAATTTATTATTTGTTACTTTTGTAATATTCTTGTAGTGAGCATAAAAAATTTGATTACTTGATATTGTAAGAACTGATAATGTACTTGATATTGTATATTAGATAGATATATTAGATAAATATTAAACAGAAAACAATATATCATAATCCTTTTGAATAAATGTATAGATTATTTTGCCTATACTTACTGAAACTGCTGAATTCAAATTCTGGATTGCCGCTCAATTCTAATGGCTCAATTCTAACCCGCTTCAATTAGCGGCTCGGCCGGCAAGAATTGATGAAACCAGACGAAGCGCCATTAATTATGACAATGATAAATGCGTTCCAGCAATCGCCTGCTACTTTAATCGACAATCCTGACAAAAATTCATTCATTATGTACTTTTAATATAGATAAATATGCAATTGTAAAACATTCTTACCTTTCTTCCCAACTGACGCAACGCAAAATGGACGAACCGAAGTGAAGTGCGCTTAATGTCACTTCGATTCAACAGTTGAATTTCAACTGTTAAATATATCGATATCTTCGATCAATAATGCATATCGCATTTTAGTTCCTCTACTTTTACGTTGCATTCATCCATAATGTACAATATTTCCACAATTAATTTTATCTCATTTTACTTGTATTGTTTTGTATTTTATTTATTTAAAATTTTATATTAATTTGTAGAGTCACAGACATGTACCAAAGAGTAGAGCGTTTACCAGCAGTGCAGAAAAATGAACGTGGATATGTAATTTCAACTCTGAAATAAATGCAGATGGCGCTACCAAACAAAGCTGCTAAACGTATTACAAAATGACAGAAACGATCTCTCTAAAGATCTTCTCTGATGAAATGGTCAAAATAAATCAAGATGGTGGTATATGTGTTTTTAACGAAATAACCTGAAAAGTCAAGGTTTTAAAGATCTTTTATCATAAATTGGAGTTATTATAAACGCACAAAAATAAGGTTTACTTATAGATAGATTTATAGATAGATCTAAAAAATGGAAGCAGAGATGGATTGGATGTATAAGGGAAACCAAATGGTGAACAGAGAGGAATATCTCTTGGGAAGGCCAGTTGACAAGGCTTTTGAACAAATGCAGCAAGCAGAAAAGGACACAGAAATGAATAAAGCACCAAAAAATCATGTCGAATATGGTACAGTTATTTTTATAAATATTGTAATAAAAATAAAAATTTTTATAATGTTATAATTTTCATTATTTATTAGAGTGTATTCCACCTTCACTACGGTTTTTCTCCGGTAACGAGCAAGTAGATTTGGTTAGAAAAATGCAAGAGGATCCTTTGTATGCCATCAAAAAGAAAGAAATAGAAACCAGGAATCAACTCTTAAAAAATCCAATCAAATTGAAACAACTCAGAGAGTTGGTAAGTAGATGTAATATATTTATTTCTGTTTTGTGCTGAATGCTTACTGACACATATGTATAATTTACAGTTGGAACAACAATCATCCAAAAGTAAAAGCGAGAAGAAAAAGAAAAAATCGAAACAAAAGGACAGCAGTGAGGATGAGGCTAATTTAGATATACTGCTCGCCTCTAAGTATAAACAATTAAAGGACAACATTAGTGAAAAGGACATGCTGAAATCGATAATGAAGATGAAGCATAAGCAAAGAAAAAAATCAAAGAAGCATAACAAGGATTCCGAAAGTGAATCTGATAGCAGAAATCATAAGAAAAAGAGCAGTAAACGGCGAAAAAAGCAAAACAAACATTTGAGTGACAGTGACAGTGATAGTAGTGATAGCAGTAGTAGCAGTAGTAGCAGTAGTAGCAGCAGTGAAAGTGATACCCAACATCAGAAGAGAGATAAGAAAAAAGAAAGCGACAAGAGAGTAGATGATAGCAAAAAACAAATTAGGAAAAGAAAATTTAGCAGAGACAGAAATTCAGAATATGAAAGGAATAAAAGATATAGGGAAGATTTTAATACAAACTATGCACGGCAACGATATAAGGAAAACGATAAGAAAAGAGATGGCTCAAGAAATAGGTATAATAATAAAAAAAGATACTCTGTGGAGAAACAAAATGATACAAAAGTAAGTGACAAACATATAATTTTTATGTAAGGTTTATATCTCTTTTTTCTGTTGACTTTCTATTATACATTATATTACATTATTTTATTTTTCAGATATTCAATAACAGCCGAACATTTGCTACAAAATCCACTTTTGATACTGGTCACTCAAAGTTCAAGGAGGACAGAAGAGAAGAAAAGTATAGATCGAAGGCAAGATCGAGTCTTACCGAAGAGCAGAGAGAACAACGGCGACAAGAAATGATGGCGAATGCAGTATGGCGTGACAAAGAAAGAGAGAGAAATGTAAAACAGTACCGCGAAGAAGAAAAGAAGGAAGTGCAAACCGATAAATCTTATAGCAAAGATTTTATCAGGTATATCATCAGATATATTTCGTCCATCGTATTTCTTCATGAAATTAATACGATATATGATTACATAAAAAAATAAGTTTGAACATTGTTGCATATGAATTTGACTAATATTTGACGTTTATTGTAGGAAACAATTAGTCGTCGCGACGGAAATGGGCACTGTGGCATCTAGAATCAAATCCAATATTAACAACATACAACGTTCCGGCCGTGCGATGGATACGAATTTCGCCAAGAGATGATTTTTACTCTAATCACGTATACTTATGTATGTATAATTGTGGGATACTGAAGTTTTTTTATATGGAAATTATGTGTATATGATTTTTATAAATGTAATCTCAACTACTGTGTATTATTTGAGGGACTTTGCATTGAATCTTCACTGACTTACCACATCGCCGCTGTACTTTATGTAAATGTAATAATAATACATATATACATAGCGAGATATATTACATGCGCCTACATAAATTCTCTAACACAAAATATTTTTTAGATTTAGTTTCAATAGCAAGTATGTTAAGTAATTTTACACATTTCTGGATGTGATTCAATGACATCAATCGAGTCCACGATGGTCGTCACGCAGCCGCCGGTAAGGACGTTATTGACTACGGCTCTAGCGAGGTATCCAGTGGTCACCGAATAATGCGCCGAGAAAAACAACGATTTGTCATCAACATTCGATAAATTGTGATCCTGAAAAAAGCATAATTTTCAGAAGCATGAGCATAAACGTCCACAACATTATGCATAGACATATATTACCTTGCAGTACATGATAAAACCATCTTCCACGAGTTCATTGAGATCCAGCTTCTTCTGGAAAGTTAATTCTGGATTTCGGAGCAGGATAGTCGACACGATACTCAAAAGCTGCAATGAGTGAAATAAGTCCTTTAAACATTACTCTATATTTGTTTCATTATTTGTATTTATCTGCTTTTAATTGCTCTTGTTATTTTTGAATATACATATTAATGACGGCAACATTTTTTTTTATTCTCAAATGTTGTTTTAATTCTTTGTGCAAGCATGTATTCTCTATAATATTAACAAACAAGTTTATACATACACATATTTAATGATTGACCTGTTTATCTTAATTGCATTTTCTTGTCATACTTAATTCCTATATTTACAGGCGAATAAATAGGTAAAAAAACGAGGAAAAAAAAAATAGAGAAAGAAGGGAAAGTGGAAAAAGCGAAATAATCTAACATTTTTTTAAATTGTTTACCTCGATTACGACTTGACGATATTCCGGCAACTGTATATGATGCAGCAAGGATTCCACGAGTAACGCAAACGTGAGCTCAGAACGAGTCATGCTGGATACGGTGGTGTGCTGAGGCAAGTCTCGTCCGTTTACTACGATACCGCCGGGACAGCGTACCAAGACATCCCATACTTGATTGTAGAAGTGTGTTGGCACTCTACACAAACAGCCCTCGATTTTGCGACGGCCGATCACCGTAAGACTATCGATGATATTGCAAATATTAATCAATGAACACTGAATACCTTTCGTATTTATAATTTGTAAATGTAACTTTGTCAATTGACATACTTCTCTGTATTAGCCCATTCTTTGACAGTCAACACTTTGATAAGAAATTGCCGGACTTCGTAAGGACTGTAATTCTCGATCGGCTTGGCATTCTTTACAAACATTTGCAAATAGAGCTTCATCGCCTCCAAGACCCACCTAGATATGCGAATAACAATTAAATAATTTCGCATAATAGCGATTAGAAGATACTAATATTGTCGAGAAGTGACACGCTACCCTATACGTATTTTTAGTATGCCTTTGAACATCTCCGGATTGGTGCCGATGAGTCTGCCGCAGTAGAGCAGGATCTCTTGCTGCAACACAGCCTGCACCGCGTTGTGCGGTTGTATCGTGGAATACATCACCGACTGTATCTCCGCTGGCGTCATCGGTTTATCGAACACCGTTTCCTCCTGTCCGATCACTCCCACCGCGATCTAATATTGTAAACAATAAGTTAACCGCTAACAAATCGAATTGAAAAAAATATTTATCCATATGCTATCAATACCTGTTTTCCTTTGACTAGCACACCCGTGATAAAAGGACTGATGCTATCCACCGTGTGATTCAGCAAACTGCTGCAATAACGTACGGCCATCCAAAATCTTAAGCATCCAGCTTGTTGATATAACGATCTCAGATTATCGCGGACTGAAAAGCATGGTAAAAACGCACGATTAGAAATTCTTGAACGAGAGATGAAATTTACGAATGAGAAAGCAGAAAGGTATAAATACCCGTGAGTCCATTGACTTCATAATTAATTCCTTGTCGTTCTATCAAGATACCGTACAACTGGCACTTAGCGTACAAGCCGATGCTATTGCGAAGTTCGTTTAATATATTGCCCAGAGGTTCGTTCATCATATACTGAAAAATAAATTGTTAGTTATATTTTCATACAATTAAGAATTTAGTTGTAGCTTTGATATGATTTCGTACAGAATAATCCTTGACGTCTTCGGTATAAGCGATAGCTCTGGGGACATCAGTGAGGCTCTGATATCCGATATAATCATGCTGCAGTTGTTTAAATTGCGTCAGATCCAGATCTGTGTCCAAAGTGTTTATGAAGTCCAAGTGTTCTGTATATAATTAATATATATTGCTTAATCATGACTTTACTGTCGATCATATACAATGCACAAAAAAAATAACCCTCTTAGTGCCTCTCTTTACTCTCTTGACTTATTGTCAAATTATATTAGAAAATATTAATTGCATTATTATTAGAGAATATTAATTGTAATTTAAAAGACTACGTTACATATAAAATTTGTCTAACACTAAGATCGGATTCATTTTTTTACAAGAATTAAACTTGCGAATGTATATTACCAATGCAAGAGGACGAAATCAGATTTTGCAGCCGTCCAATGCGTACTTTCGTCTTGTCGCAGTAGCCTTTCTTCAACATCGCAAAGAGATCTAACATCTTTTTAAATTGCGGATCTCTAAACAAATTTTTACAAAGATAAGCATACATAATGAGCGTGACGTATTAGCGAATATATTAAAATTACCGCATATGTTCTTCCCGTATCAAAAGACACACAGTGGGTCGACCGGAGAGACGCCAGTACTTGCCAACAAACTGCAGTTCGGTCTTGATATCGTCAATTAATAAAGCCATGTCTCTATACAAATAGAACTCAGACACTTCGAAGATCAAAGGGTAACAAAGCACTGTCATGCCACAAACTCTATACATCTGCAAAAAAATTCATCTGTTCAACATTACTTTATATATGACATTAAATTAATATATAATCGTTTATAAAAGTATTTTGTTAACGAATTTCATCATACGTACTTTGCTTGTACCGAGAGAACCTATAGGTCGTGCGGGTCGCCCTTGAAGATTCAGCTTCTTATTCACTCCCAGCTTTTGGTAAACTTTTACTAACTGAGTAGACGACAGTATCTGAACGGGTTCGACTTCATGTGGCGTCTGCGTTTGAATGCCATACGTGGCCATCATGGCTTGCAATCGCATAGATTCTGCGATCAGAACTATTTGTACTACTAGATCGGTGTGAGTACCCTGGCATACAAAAATACAGCGGTGCTTATAATCGTGCAACGTCAATAAAAATATGTATTTTTGGAATTTCATATGATAATAAAAATTCTAATTATTTACAATTTCAGCCGTCAAATATGCAATGTTCAACTTTATGCAAATTTGCGATAGGTTTGAGAAATACGAAGCTAAAAATTACAAATGAGGAAAATGTAAAATACTTTTACAGTGATTGCATGCTCTTTCTATAAAAATATAATATCAAGGAATATAAAATTTTTGGGATAACAGTTTTATCCCTTGAGAAAAAGGAAGAGAAAAAGCAAGAAAATAGTGCAGAGCAAGAAAATATGCAGTACTATATACTACACAGCAGGCGTATACTTTTAATTACTTACAATGCTGGGTTTTGCCTGTGTGAAATATAATATAAAAAAATTATTAATCTTGAAACATGAGTTATATAGCAAAATTATTTATCATTTAATATCTTTAAACATCTCTCAAAATCACTGTAAGTTGATATTGACATACGTATCATTTAATTTAAATGCATAATGTAACATAATGCGTTTTATTTAATTTCAAAACAAGGACATGGAAAATTGGATTTCTATTATTTTCAGATTTTGTGAATATATTAAATATTTATCTGAAATAAAAAAAATACGTAGATATAATTCTTCTTTTACCTGGAAAGCGGAATATCTTCCCGCTCGCCTCGGACGATTGTACGATGGCAGATATCGACGGATCGGATCTAATTCATTGATATGCAGAAGACCGGCGGTAAGCAGCTGCGCGATTACAAACATGGCTTGATTCCACAAGTACATCGGTGCATCATAATCCGCAGATCTGGCGCCTCTCCCTTCGTCGCTGGGTAGTCGATAAACGGTGCATGGATCGTTTCTTTCAGCTTCCAAATGTTCCACAGGTACGTAATAGTACATAGGAATCACCGGATCTGCCAAAATGTATCTTGTTGCAAAAATTATGCGATTTGTAATTATATAATCAAATGTAATTTACAGATTTATCGCAGAGTATTATTTGGACAAAACTAAAGGTAAAATATTTTATTTGTCAGTACCTCCATTCAAATCTTTATACACTCTTGCTTTCAATAGATTCTGATATTCTTCCACCTGCTCAGGGCAACTTTTGAATACACCATCTATTATCATGAAAATGTAAAACAGCGGCCATTCGCTTTCGATATTGTCAAAATCCTGCGTATAAAAAAAAAAGAAATGTCAGATTAAAAATGAAAAATTCTCACGAATCAATTTTATATTAAATAAAGTTGATCACAATAATACCATGCATAATAATGAGGTAACTTGAAACCTTAATTTCTCCGGATTTATAATACCGCCGATGTTTGTCCTCTAGCACTGTTTTATAACCGTCTCTTCCGAATCGTTTAAAACCATAATTGCCTTTCAATCTACGCACTATGTTCGCCTTCGTCTCGTTGTACAGCACTTCTTCGTGAGTCGCAAAGGCGGGAAAGGACACTGTCGGTAGCAGGGCTGCGTCTACGCTCTAGAAATCACGTGTTTCTTGTAAAAATTCACCCGAGGATCATGCAATTGGAATCGCTTACTTTTGAACTAGATTCTCGCGGTAGCATCGTCTCAAAAATGCTACGATTGCGATTATGAGCATCGATATCGACGTATATCACAGACCAGGATGCGCCTGTCTCTCCAAACAAATTACAACCATTGATCGCCTCCAATGCGCTCTTGGCAATCCCAATGGAGCTGGCATGAATCTCAGGCGTTCCATCATTATATCGACTTCCACGCTCCCACATGCCGTAATCCGGTGTACGGTAAGCTCTTTCGACGTAATATACTAGATTTTGTACAAAGGCCACTTCATCTTGTGTATATATAATTTGTAATCCAGAAGAAATCATTTGTACCAAGAATATCAGGTAAAGAGATACGACATCAATCTACATTGGATGGAATAAGAAATAATTAAGTATTTATTCTTATAAATATATTTTATAAGAGTAATTATATCATATATTTATATCGTTAATATATATTCCTTGTATTCAAAACTATTGTTATATCTCACAGAGATTATAAACATGTTGGATACTTACTTGTAAGTGATGGTAATCAGCATCTCTGTAGATTTCATCTCCAGTATCTAAGTGAAATTTGCAGTGTAACGCAAAACGATCACACTGATTTTTCTTAAAGAGCTCCACCCTGTTAGACTGTTTTATCCAACATTCTAAAATACCCCGCATACATTTTATTGCCGACTGTCCCAATTCATACGATTTTCCACGATCATCATCAATACGTCTATAAGCTTGATATAGGCTCCATATTGCTGCAGCACAGTATATACTTTCGCGTACGCTGCCGACCTTTTGATCGGACGAAATCTGTGGAAACAGACCTGTTATGCAACTCTGATAACGCAATAATTGTCTTTTAACAATCCCATAGTATATATCCAGTTGTCTGACAGTGTCCTCGTAGTTGGATATCTTAAGAAACATATCGGCATCTATATCTATTACACTGCCCTGCCGCATATTTCTAATCTGCGAGATTCTACAGTGAAAAAAATTAATAATTTTCATTAAAAATTATTTTCTACTCATTTGTACTCATTGTACTTCTTGCAATATGATAAATTACAGACCTTTTCGCGCTCGGTGGTGTTGACAATAAAGTAGCCATCTTAATCAAAATATGTGAGCTATTTTTGAGTCAATAATACAGAGCTATGTACTACTTACAATAATATATACACTCTATACTGTAATATTTAATATGTAAAATAATTAAACTATTATATTTTACATTTCATATTCATATAAACAATCAATAAACGATTCATTTCTCTTGTCAAATTTAATGCGATCTTAATGAATTCTCTTGATTAAAAAATACAAAAAGGTCAAATAAACACAAAAATCAGCTGAGATCAACTCAGCTGATTAAATCAGAATCCTACTGCCTGGACCAGCCATAGATAAAAGCAATTATTTAGAAAGAAAACTACAATCTGACAGAAAATAGATCGTAATAGAGGCCTCTGTCGTAGTTGAAATAAACTAGAGATTGTAGTTGTTTCTAGGAGCTTTATAACAAATTATTGCATTTTTGGACAAAAACAAAGTATCAACTAGGTATCAAGTCTAAATATTTGTACGTACATTGTGGTTCAAATTGTTGACATTATTAAGGCCGGTATCAAATTACGCATTTTTTATTTTTCGTTTTCATGTTCATAAAATACTACTACTTTTAAAGCAAATACATAAGAGCAAAATATGACTACAATTGCACGCAACTAGTTGCCGGATCTTGTGCAATCACTCCTATCAAAATTGCTTCTGAATTGATTCTAGCTTAAGAATTGCATAATTATAGTATTAAAAATTTGCGCCAATTTATCGCGACAATTGAATTGCTACAACAAATTGCATAGTCAGACTAGTGATATCAGTGGTATGTAATATCTAAGCATTTGATGTGTAAAACTAAACATAAGGTTGAAAAATTAACAAGGAGATCATACAACATTATATTAATAAGTAAAAATATAAATTTGAATTTTTTTAATCAACAATGAATTACGAATATATAAGTAGAATGTTTATATATTCATATGAAAGTACCTAATCCGGAAATGGATGACTTATGACTCTTATTGGTACACGTCAGTACACGTATTTAATATGGATTGGTGGAGCTGATTCATTTTTTTCGCTCGACGGTGTTGAGACTTTTCTGTACTTTCCCGGTTTTATTTGGACTGTATACGTAGCATTGAGTCATTGATCAATGACCGTTGGCAATTGTTAGTGTTTATATCTGTATCTTCTAATTATTTATGAAGTTGAATCTCTTTTGTTAACAGATATTGCAGATTCTGAATTGCGCGATAAAATAAGGTAAGGATTAAAAATTAATATCGAGTAACTTTAATATTACAAGGCATAAATCGCAATTAACGTTTTGAACATTACTGATTATTGATTTGAGAAATCCTTTAATTGGGTCAGCAATTGATTTCAGTTAATGCATGATGGAGTCGAGAATTACTTCAACAGACAATGAAAACGAATTTACACCAAGGGCCTATCAGATAGAGCTTTATGAAAAGGCTGTGCAACACAATACTATCCTTTACTTGCCAACCGGTGCAGGAAAGACATACATAGCGATTATGCTTCTGAAACATTTCAGTGGTGATGTACGCAAGTATGTGTTTCTTTACATAGATATGTTTAATGTTATTAAATATCTCTAATAAATGCATTTCTATATATTGATGCATTTTTTTACCAATGGTATATATATGTTTTAACATTACGTATTTTATTGCTTTAAAAGATTTCTTTTATATTTAGACCTTATGCAGAAGGTGGAAAACGTAGCATATTTGCTGTAAATACAGTAGCATTAGTAATGCAACAAGCAGATTACATAAGAAGACATACTGGATTAACATGTAAAGGATACAGCGGGGACATGCAGGTGGATTATTGGAAAGTAGAACAATGGATGGCTGAAATAGAAGCACATCAAGTATTAAATTTTTTAGTATATATATATATATATTTCTAACTTAGCTATGGAACAATTATTAATAGGATATAATTTTATCTAATTCAGGTTCTAGTAATGACATCACAGATTTTTTTGGATATACTTTCACATGGATATATGAAATTAGATAGAATAAACTTGATTGTGTTTGATGAATGTCACAGAGCTGTTTCAAATCACCCTATGAGACAGATTATGCAACGATTTGAAGATTGTCCTAAAGAAAAACAACCACGAGTCTTAGCCATGTCAGCAACATTATTAAACGCGAATATAAAATTAGATAAAATTGAAAGTACTATTAGGGTAAGGAAACATTACATATTATGTTGTCTTTAGTAACTTCAATTACAATCTTCGGATTCTTTAATTATATTTTATAGTCCTTAGAAATAACATTCCACTCGAAGATTGCCACAGTAGATTCAACAGATTGCATCGAAGGATATTGCACAAATCCAAAAGAAAGTATTGTAAAATACACATCATATCAACCTCCTTCAGTAATGGTACAAATAAGTGAAATAATAGATGAAGCTATAGAAATATTAAAAAACTTAAATTTGAATCTGGATGATTTGTATAAGGAATCTAGTCCCCAAATGCGACCTAAGCCGAAATCTTCCAAGTTAATTGCTATTCTAAATGATATTAAAAGCACCACAACACAAACAGGTAATTAATAATTTCACTTGCATGTGTATGGTAAAGTGTTATGTTCAATTTCAATCTATCTTTGATTTCATATGTATTGAAGAACAGTTAATAGATAAAACAATGCATAATATGTTACTTAATTTTTGTTATAGGAATATATGGTGGTAGCAAGTCAGCTTTACTACACATAATCCAGATAGAGTCTTTAAAAAAATATTGTGATGATCAAGTAAGTGATTTGATTACAATTATATGATTGGTCTTTCTTTTTTTTTTTTTTTTTTTTTTTTTAATGATACAAGATGTTCCAGAATTCTTTATCTTAATTCTAATGACAGATTTATTCATTAAATTTCAGATAACAGAGATTGCTTTGGATTTTATGAAAACACAAATAATATTAATAAGAAGATTGTTCTATCAACAAATGAAGAATTTTACAGAATTAGATCAATTGTACAAGTTAGTATAAAATAAAAAGTTAAAGAACTTTATTGCCAATTATGACATTTACACATTGATGTGTTGTAGTGTTGCAGTAATGTAAGTGATAATATATACTTTCAGATTCACATCTGACCAAGTTCGTAAACTATTTGAAATATTAGCTGACTTTAATGGCAAACTATTGTACAATCAAAAGTTTTGCTGCATTATTTTTGTCAAAGAGAGATTCATGACACAAGTCATATATCATATATTAAAAGTAAGTATTCTTGTTATATTTTTTTATTTTTTTAGCATTTAGAATTGCGCCAATAATAATACTGATTAATGATTATTATTTAAAATATGTTTTTTAGAATTACGGCAAATTTATATTAATTATAAATATTTCAAAAAGTATAAACTGCATTTCTAATATCTAAAATCTATTATTTTGCAGAAATTACGCAATCATGATCAACGGTACACCTTTCTTTCGCCCGATTATATAATTGGATTCCAAAATAGTCCTTACAAATATAGTAGAGAGGTGACATGTATCGCAAAATGGAATAAGGACGTTTTACAAAGGTAAAATTGTATAAATCTATAATGTAAATTTAATTTTTTGTACATTTTATTATCAATTTGAAAAAGCTATTATATTGCATATTTACTAACACACATATGTATATGTATCTCATACTTCTATATACTAATAAATAAATGCTATACTCTGTACTATTTACTCTGATCATTTTAATATAATTAATCAAGATGTTAATTTTTTCAGATTTAAAACTGGTGCAGCAAATTGTATCGTAGCGACTGATGTCGTTGATGAAGGTATCGATGTTCCATCATGCACCTTGATCGTACGATATGATATGCCTTTGGATTTCAGAGGGTACGTTCAAAGTAAGGGTCGAGCGCGTCACAGTACCAGTCGTTACATAGTCTTAATGCCAAATGATGATTCAAATTTTCTGCAGAAATATGAGTTGTATAAAAATATGGAATTTAAATTGAAAACGGTAAGTGAATAATTTAAATAAATTCTCTTTGAATACGAAAAGAAAGATAATATAATTGTGTTTTTGTTTTCATCTTTAAGACGAGTAGAACACACTGTCAAAGCTTAGTAGTCTATTTTAGAGATAATCTGCATGTGATATCAAATGACAGAATTTTATTACCACAATTATTTTCTTTTCACGAAGTAAAAAGGAATAAATTACATTAAAATGATAATCGCACGATAAAATATATTATGACGTCAACCCGTCTCTTATTGTATATTAGTTGTTGGTGGGACAAAATAAACTGCGTACGTTGCCTACTGAAAGTGATATTGCAAACTCTCTATATACATACGAGATCGAGCCATATACTGTGAGATCAAATGGCGAAATAGTGAGCTGTATAACGGAAGGATCTGTGGTCAGTTTGATAAATACGTATTGCAATACTTTATTGAGATCCAAATTCGTTCACTTGGTTCCTGTGTGGAAAGTATACGAAGAGAAAGATTCAAATGGAGAGACATTGTATCGGGTATTACACTTATTATACATGTTGCATTATGTGTTCTTTATCATTTTATCATTTGTAATGCTTATTTATCAATGTGACAGATAAGTCTGAAACTACCGAGCGTATCACCAGTGAAAGCCACAATTCACAGCGATTTTATGAAGAGCATAGATAATGCCAAACGATCGGCCGCTATGAAGAGTTGCATACAATTGCACCAGAAAGGCGCATTATCAGACAAGTTATTACCCGCAACTGAGACTGCAGTCCTGCAAAACTTGAATCATTTATTCCCACATTGGGTGGAGGAAAAAGATTATTTGCCTGGCACATATAAAAAGAAACGAAATCACAAGCTAATGGCAAGTATACATTTTACATGCACAAAATCATATGAGTTTTACTTGTAATAATTAATTAATACATAAGCTATTTTTTATAGATATTTTTTATCTCTGTACATGATTATTGATTTATTAAAATATCTTTGCAGTATCCGACGGCATTATACGGCGGGTTCCCAGGGCCTTTGAAGAAGTTGTATCTTCATGTACTCAATTGTACTCCTACGTATTCCATGATGAATTATGATAACAGACGCATGGTTTTTTATTCTTTACTTGATAACAAAAGTGGTTTTGGTATCCTTTCTACGATGAATTTACCAGAGGTAGAAACATATGCGAGTATTATGGGCTACTGTAGATTGTTTATCATATTACTAAAATTCTTTTTGTATTCGACAGATACCGCCTTTCCCGATTTTTATGAAGGATGGTAAATTAAATGTCGAGGTGAAACACAATTTTTCAACGACAATACTGAGCGGAAAAGATATCGAATCGCTCAAAAGATTTCATTTCTTGTTGTTTACTGACATCATTCCCGTCATCAAAGACTTTATGCTTTTTGATAACGATAATCTTGAGAATTCCTTCCTAATTGTTCCATGTAAGTATGATTATGTATTATGCTATAATTTATGTACTTTTTATTTATTATGTAAATTCACTGCTTCATAGCTTTAAAAATTCCATATTATTCAGTTTATCTTAATGCTAATGTATAAAAGCTGTTAAATCCTTTTTTTTTTTAACCTTTTCAGTAAATGAAAAACAAGAGATAAATTGGGAAATTGTCAGATCGCATCAATATGTGGATCGTATCATGCCGTCTAAACCTTTTCACTTTAAACATAGCGATTACGAATTAGCGTTAGTTACACCGACTTACAGAGGATCAACGAATGTATACATAGTTACGCGAGTATGCGATGACCTCACACCTGAATCATGCTTCCCCAACGAAGATTTTGAAACGTTTACACATTATTATAAAGAAAAACATGGATTAACTATTGAAAATCTGCAGCAATCGATGCTGGAAGTAAAGCCTATACCGGTCAAGATTAATTACATAAAACCGAGGTATGCTAAAATAATAAGGCATCTGTACGCAGTCAACTTAACCAACTGTAATTTTCAGGGCATTGCTCAACGGTCCGGTGAAATATAAGAAAGCGGACGACACAGTAGAGGATCTTCAGGAACATCTGATTCCAGAGCTGTGTTGGAAAATAAACTTCCCGGCTTTGTACTGGTTGAAAGCAACAACATTGCCTACAATTCTTCATAGAATTTCTCAACTCTTAATCGCAGAAGATTTGAAAGAAATTATCGCACAAGAGACTGGCTTAGGAGAAATTGCAACGTCGCTACAAAAATGGCCTTCAATAGAAAATATTGAGAAATCGAGGGAGGAGGAATCTAATCATGAATCAGACTTAACGATGGATGACTTGATTGAAAAAACGCAACCGAATCAACCGGATCTGTTGGAAATAGGTATGTAAAATAAAAATTATGTACCTATATACACTACAGAATTTATGTAACTTGACACTAGAATTACCAACGGTGCATTTTCTGAGATTTTTCATGATTTTTGTCGCCATATGTAAATCGATTAATTTACTTTTATTTCTTTTTAAAAAAGAAAGAAATGGATATAGATATATGTTAACCGTCGGTGGATAGTTAATGGATAGTTAAAAGAAATGATACAGTCAAGATAAATGATGATGATTTTTGTAATTTGTTTATATTTTTGAATTATCTATGTTAATTAAAATAAAAATATATTTTGTTATGGAATTAATTTTCTTAAACTTGTAATACGCGGACAGACTGTTCCCTGTTGAGTGACCAAGAACCCCAAGATTTGTATCGCCATATGGATGAAGTACAAATGATCGACATCCAGTATTATCATCATTTTATGGTCACAAGCAACGATGAAAAGGATAAAATTCAAGTAAGCATTATATAGCAATATCTATTGTAATTATATCATATACGTCTTTCAAACGAGATAACGTTTATGTGTAGAAAAATACGAACAAAAGTGTTGGTAAATATATCGCGAAGCCAACAGTATTGGTACCACCGTTGAATGTCCTTGCGTCGGAGAGACTTGATATGTCATGCGGTCCTAGCGCAGCGGAAATCATGCCTGTAAGCAAAAACTTATTTTTCATGTATCGTACGTCAAGAATAATGATTGCGCATACGTAATTTAATCGCGAGCTGCGTATCTAATATTGTAATATTTAATTTTAGGCGCTGACCACTAAGCTGGGGATGGATGTATTCAATTTGGAGCGATTGGAAACCTTAGGCGATTCGTACTTGAAATTTATCGTATCGCTGTTTTTGTATCACGAGTTCCCGAATTTCGCTGAAGGCCAATTGACGACGTTGAAGGGAAAGATTATCGGCAATCGGAATCTTTACTACTGCGGCGAGAATAAGGATATTCCCGGGCGCATAAAGAACGATGCGTTCGTCCCTATGAGCAATTTTATTGCACCCGCATTCACGGTGCTACGTCCGCTGCAAGATATTTTCTTGAACGAAGAGATCGCACCGAACGTGTTGTACGAACTTCATATACCGACCGAAGAGAGATTTACTGGAATTATATCTGAAGATACGAAAAATGAAATGCAAGAGACGGTAATTAATTGGGACAAAGGTGAGCTGCAAACTGGCTTCGAGCATTATCTCGGCATTCAAATCTTATCCGATAAAACCGTGGCGGACGTGGTGGAAGCCCTGATTGGTGTTTATCTGAAGGCAAGTCCAAATATAATATTATCGATTGTTGTCTTCGATTGAAATATATTAGAATGAAAGTAGGATGTGTTAGTATATGTGACTAGTGTTGAATGTGTGAGACAAAACATTTTTTTTATATTGTACAGAGCAACGGTATAAGAGGCGCCACGAAGCTACTCAAATGGTTCAATATATTGCCAGATATTCAAATTGATAACTTACTGTATAGCGAACCACCGAATCCTATAATAGGCAGTGGAAATGTCAACCAGTTTATGCCATGGGCGAATAACATAGAAACTCAATTCGGTTATAAATTCAACAATCGAGCATATTTGTTGCAGGTAAACTTAATTTGCTAAGTAGCCATGTATAATATACAACTTACAATGCCACATAAGTATATTTAATCGACTTTGTATGTTTTACATTTAATTTTCGCATACATTTAAGTTAATATTTGACGATTATTCGACTTACATATTTTTTTTATGTTCAGGCGTTCACGCATCCATCTTATACAGCAAATGCGATAACCGAGTGCTATCAAAGATTAGAATTTCTCGGGGATGCTATATTGGGTGAGTACAAAATTTCTCTAACATTTCTTTATTTATTCGAAGTAAGTTTAAAGTAATAAATTTTACCTTCATGATTTCAGACTTTTTAATTACATGTTATATTTATGATAACTGTGGAGACTTGAGTCCTGGTGAGCTCACAGATCTGAGATCTGCGCTCGTAAACAATATAACATTCGCTTGCTTGGCAGTGCGGTACGGTTTACATACCGCATTATTGGCGTACGCTCCAAAATTGCACGAAGCAATCGATCGTTTTGTAAGATTCCAAGAAGAGCGGAACTATGTAGTTGACGACGAAGTATGTGAGCGTGTAGCAAATGTAAAAGATATACAACGTGTATATATAATTTCCCTTTCAATTCTTTCTTTTGTTTTACAGTTGCTGTGTATACTGCTCGAAGAGGAAGATTGTAGCTTGGCAGAATACGTTGATGTTCCGAAAGCTCTCGGTGATATATTCGAATCGTTAATTGGAGCCATCTATCTCGATAGTAAAAAAAATCTTGTAAAAGTTTGGCAGGTTATATATTCTCTTATGCATAAGGAAATCGGTAAGATTATTTATATACAAATAATATTATGGGCGATATTTATTGCCCGTCTCTCCTTTGATATACTATAAATTCTTTATCGAAATTTTATAATCCGTGTCCGTTTTACAGAGATGTTTAGTAAAAATATTCCTAAACAACCGGTACGAGTAATACATGAAAATACAGACGCACGACCTAAGTTCTTGTAAGTACAATTAATCACATCTTTTTATTTTTATCCATTTAATATTACACTGTACATATTCACACTCCATAATCATCCAATACATCCATAATTCTCTTCCATGTTAATTCAGAAACATACACATTCTTTTATATCTATATATATATAAAATATTTCAATTGCAGAGAAGCGACATTGATTGAAGGTACTGGCACAATTATGGTGCCTTTAAAAATAACTATTAATGGAAAGGACAAGGTCTTCCATGGTTTTGGAATGAATAAAAAACAGGCTAAGTGCGCAGCTGCGAAGCAAGCTTTAAAAAGACTGCAAAAGGAGAAGTAGCTCCGCTTCAATTATTTTATATAACACATATGCACGCATATACATATATTGATGTCCAAAAGTTAAACATAACCAGTTCATTTGCATGTTTTTTTTTTAATTTTTTTCTGTGTACATTTGCCTGTACACAGAGATTGGTTTAAAATAGCCACACACCGTGATAAACAATCCCGCTCTTCCCTCCCTTTCAACCCGTTTAATTCTCTGTTTTACTGATATATCTATATGCGTGTACATTTATATCAAAATAGATATTTTTAGTTAGGCTTATAACTAGGCAAGACATAATATAATTATAATATACGTAATGGTCAATTAAATACAAAGTCAGTAGAAAAAGTTCTTTTTTTTTCATTAGGTCAGACGCCGAAGTTTATAAGCCTGAATGTTATTTTTTATTATATATTGCTTTCTTTGTGTTATTGATGATGAATTTAAAGCATATATGAATTAAGATCTGTTCCTACATAGAATTATTGATTTGTTAAGAAAAAAATTGAAAAACTTCCAAATAAAAAAAAACAGTATTGAATTATATAAATTAATAGATGACATTTTGTGTTCATCTTACGAACAAACAAACAATTCTTTCGTGCGAATCCAACATGCCACGTTACAGATTAGTGCAAGATCTAGTGCTATCAATACCCGGGTACTCAATTATCTCGGATATTCGAAATGTAATAGTTATATACATGTATAGCACCGCATATTAGAAGCTAAAGTAGCTTTTATACTTTTTTAGTTAATTACGTATTATAGAAATGATGAATAATTTTTTAAAAATATGTATTTCTTCCAATCTATGTTATAGTTAAGACGACGCTAACTAATTATCATTCATATTTACACATGTCACTCGGATCGGTTGTTTAAGAATATCTTTACTAAACATCTTTGTAAAACGCGGACATGGATTATAAAATTTCGATAGAGAAGTTGAGAGTATATTATGTCAAAGAAGAGATGAGTAATAAATATTATCGCGTTAATATTACTTATATGTAAACCTTATCGATTTTCTTATGCATACAAAAATGTATGACCTATTTTCTTATGCATAAAAAATTTATGTCAAACTTTTACAAGATTTTTATTACTGTCGAGGTAGATAGCTTCCATATTTTGAGTAAAATTTATTTTACTCAAAATATGTAAATACGAATGATAATTATTATTCTAAAAGGGATCAATACAATATAAACCAACATATTAAATGTTATATATATATATATATGTTTCTTTTTTCTAAGTTTATCTAAGTTATATGCTAACAATGATATATATATATATATATACATATATATATATACACAAGTGTTTTCATATATAATTGTTGTGAAAAGAAAAACAAAGATGCAATAAAAATGTTTGCATTTAATTTTCAGCTTTCCTTTTTTTCAAAGAAGGCCGGTCAAAAACTTGTTTCATTCCCGCCGCTTGATTATTGTGGAATTTGAGATTTTGCGCAGTTTCCGATATCCAAGGTGAATCGAACTGTGTAGTGTCTTGATCCACCAGATGAGTGTACTTGGTCCTACCGCTGCGTCCGAAATTCTTCACCTGCATGACTTTCGGCAGGATCGTCTTGTCGAAGTGGTCCTCTAGGGTCGCGCCTGAGAAGTCACGTTTAAATATCGTGTCGTCCTTGTCCAAGTAGAATGCACCACGATGATAGTACTTCTGTAAAAATTTGTACTTTCCCTTGGCCGCTTTATTGGTGATCAGTTTCGGATTCAGCCGCGCCTCCTGCCTCCGCTCCTCCTCGGTCATATTGCGGATACGCTCGATCTCCAGACGCTCCTTCTCGAGCTGCTCTCTTTCCTCGCGATCACGCTTGATCCTTTTCAATTCGCGTAACTTCCAAGCTTCGTATTCCACCTCGTCATTCTCGTCGTCCGTGCACACGTCGTTTAACTTGCTTTCCTGTTCGACGTTACCTTTGTTCCCCATCTGCGTCTCTTTACGTACCGCCTCCTCCACCATTCGCAGAGTCTGTCTCTTTCGTTCCTCCGCCAGTTTTTTAGCCTCGACCTCTGCTTGCTTTTGCCGCATCGCCTCCTTCTCTTTCTCCATCACTGTAATTCTATCTTTCTTGCGAACGAACACGGGCTTCAATCGTGGTCCAGTCTCCTCCTCGGAATCCGTATATTCTTCGTATTCCGAGCTCTCCTCGGAACTTTCACCTGATCTATCCTCTTCCTCGCCTTGTATCAGTTCTTCTTCCGTTTCTTTCTTGGACAGCACTCGCTGTTTTAAAGCTTCGCGTCGTTTCTCTATCTCGGAATCTGACAGTTCTTCGTCTTCGGATGAATCAGAGCTCTCTAATTTGATTCTCTCTCGTGTTCTCTCCAACTCAATCTCGATGAGCTCAGGCTCGTGAATATGTCTGTGTCTTTCTACACGTACTTCGGTTGGTGCGTCCTTCTGCTGTCGTGTTAATCTCCGCAAACGTGGATCATCTTCATCCCTAGTCCTTGTGTGCGAGTGTGTGCTAATATCCGCAACAGTCTCGTTATCATCATAGCCTTTGTGCACCCGTTTTTCAAGGAAGTCCTCATCTTCTGACTCTTCATCCGAGCTTGCTGCCGCATAATCCGGCCGCTTACCAGAAACATAACGATGTACTTTCACTTTTTTCATAGACAACTCTCCTACAAACAAAATAATTTGTTGTCAATTTGATTATATTTTCATTATTATCAAAACTTCATTTTTACAAGCATAATAAATATATTTTTGTATCTTTCATAAAATTTAAAATTTCTTGTTGATAGAAGCGAATCAACATCCTCATTCGCTTATAAAAAATTTGTTTTATTTTAGATTTAACCTCACCTTTGTCATTCTTCACAGGCACAGCACCTGCCGTACTTTGTATTCCCATCGGTGCAGGTGCCAAGGAATTGTTCGTCACGAAGTAGTCCATCATCATCTTGATGCCGTGTATTCGATAAACGTACTGTTGAAATTAAGTTAAATTTTATTTTATTCACGATAGAACGTTTTGTTGTTGGTATACGTCCGCAGAACAACTATCAACTTTGATCAATCTAACAAAACATATCTTTAAACTCTGAAGTCATCACGAGCGACATCACTTGAAATCACTTATATCTTTTACAGTCGGTAAATAACGACAAAACTGAAATCATCAGTTGATAATATCAAATAATTAAACAAAAGGTACTATTAATCTCTATGTGGCGTCGCTTTTCAATGAATTGTTTACGTTAGAATTTTTTATTATAGAAATATTTTTATAATACAAAGAGTCCAAAATTAGTGAATATCAAGCAATTCTTCGTCAAAAATAATAAGTTATTGAGGAATGAACAATAGAGCTTCTTAACACAATGCTCTTAAATTCTCATCAATCAAATGCAAATCATCTTTTACATAGAATTCACTATTAATAAGCATAATTATTTAGGAACGAACAATAAAAGGTAAATAAATTTATATATCAATGTAAAGTATTGTTATTTTATCTTTATAAATTTTTTAATTGTTTATATATAAAATATATTTGTCAGCATATTGTGCTTTTTTAGACATTTATGATATAATCGATCCGTAACTACGGAACAACGGAAATATTATTAATGCAACAATTATGAGTTTTGCGATTTTCAAGGATAAACAGCGACGGCGCGAGTTGAATTGTTCATTGCTGTTGATCATTATGAAGTGAGGCAATTAACGAGATGACGAATGGCGCCCGGCGTCAGCATGGGCCGTGTTTTCCTTCCTGGTCTTTGCAGTGCCCGAGTTTTATTCCGCACTAACGAGGCGAGAGAAGTAAATCAATATTATTCTACAAACTCAATATCCAATTTTGTGGCACGTCATTATAAAGCTTAATTAAGGAAGTCTTAAATTATTGTGCATATCTCTTTTTCTCTTTCTCTGTCTAAATTGCTTATTTTATATTATTGTTATCATAAATGTGTCAAACAAACATTAAACTTATGTATTTATGAATAAAAGGTATATTTTTCCTTAAGCATCGAATTTAAAACAGATATAATTATAATACTATAATAGTTGCAAAAGAGACTTGAAAAATAAGAAATGACTGTAATATAAAGAGAGAAAGAACCAACATTGAAATCAGAATGCAGTAGTTGGTGCATGAATATTTATATATATCACTAATGATTGTCTTGATAACGATTGTAAGAATGTCAATTTGTTTTTGTCAGCTAAAGTTTTCATAATCATTGTTTCTACAATCGATTATGGCATGAATAATTTAGCACTCTCTCTTAACATCGTTATTAGTGATTATAAAATAATCAGTAGGGACATAAATATTTATTTAACAACTGTGTTCTGACTCTAATTTATTTATTTTTTTTTTTTAAGATGTACATCATTTATGGACATTAAATTATTTTTTTGTTTGTAATTAAGCATAAAGAGATGTTGACAATTTTGGTTGACATTTAAGATATCTGTATTTCTTAAATATTCAATATTATTATATGAGTAGAAAAGGATTGTAAAATCGATTATGTGTTGTACGTATAAATATAAATTTAAATTACAGTCGCGAGAACGTGACGCACAGAATGGAAAAGGCCACGGCAAATTTTTTCTCAGAAAAAGCGGTCGAAGACAGTAACCAATCAGACTTAAACCTGACGATGCATAATAATCAAGTCCCCGTTACACAGCAGGAGACACAATTCATGTGTTCTTTATACATTTCACGTGCTGGCGGTCTTCAAGATCAAGGTTACAGGGCTCAAGGTAATATGTAATATTTAACATCTAAAGATACGAATCGTTTTATTATTTAATATATAATTCACCTGTGACATATACTTTATGATTCAATTATTAATAAAACTTTTAATATAATATGTAATGTATTCCAAAAATTTCAATTTAATATGTAATAAGAACTGCAAAAAAGTATTGAAATAATAAAAATCAATCAACTCCATTCATTTTGCATTAATTATCAATTGATATTTATATTATTGTTAATTATTATTTAATTATTGATTAGGTTGTGAGTTGTTACGATCTCATCTCGAAGAAGCTATTGCCGCTTCCGAACCGCTGTCGGCTTGGCGCGTCTCTGAAACTCCGTGCGGTCTAATAGCTGCCTTCGTTAGAGAAAACGACGCCGAGAAATTGTTACAACGTGGCGACTTAGCTCGTGTGTTTGGAAGACCTGTGCAGGTACGCGATTTATATTATTTTCGTTATTTTAGTTGTAAAGATGCTTTGTTTGTTGTTTTTTAGATTTCTATTACATCAATCAAGTATTTTGTTATTTTCAAGCTATATCGCTAATTGATTTTGTATCATCAATTTTTAATTAAGTGTTCCACTTAATTATTCTTAAAAAGCCATCTAATTCATTTTTCTTTTTACAGGTAGCGCGATTCTCAGCGAGAGATTCTCGATATCATCAAGCCGTGCTTCTGAGAGATGTACCATGGGCCATACCGCTCCAGGATATAAATTCAGCTTTGGCAAAGCAGGGAATCGTAGCTGGAAACATCGAACGTTCACGGCAATTCGTTCGAGTAGAGGTAGAACAGCTTATCTCTCGTTTTTTTTAAATCCATATCATGCAGCTATTTATTAAATTGTGCGAAAATTAACGTATAACGTTAATACATGTGTGTTGCATATAATGCAAAAGTTAAAATATGTAAACACCGCGTTGTTATCTGAATTCGCGCAAAAGTGCATGTACTGCATAATCGCAAATCAGTTTTTACATTAGGCTTCTGTGGTTTAGCTTAAGCTCAACCGGAATTGAAAGTCGACTTTCGAAATGCCTTCGGTAGCGCCGATAGCTCTCTTGCGCTATTTGCAATGAAGAAGTTAAGATGAAAGTGCTGAGGCAGCAATTGAAATCAGTTTTTAGTGTATATAAAATGGCATAAATACGTCTAATTGCTAAAGCGCAAATATAAAAGTTCCTTTAAATTTTTTCAATAAAGATGAGAGGCAAAAATTTAAAGGAACTTTCTGATTAATATAAACATGTATAATTAGCATTTCTCTCCTCCCTTCTCTCTAGACAAAGTGAACGATACTTATCGATCTTACTTAGGTTTTCGACGCGAACCATTATGAAGCTCTACTACGTCAAGGTCTCGACTTTTTCGAGGTAGCGCGTTTCAACGCGGTTCCCGAACGCTGGTGGCGCAGCGGCAGCAGTGGTACCGCGTGTTCCTCGAATATACCCTCACAATACCTGTCGGGAGACGACAGGAGCAATTCTCCAGAAGCCTCGAACGTGCTCGTGGATAGTGTGCTACAATGTTACCGATGCCAAGGCTTTTGGCACGTGGCCGCTAATTGCAGACATCTACCGCGCTGTGTCCGCTGCGGCGAGCCGCACAGCGTCGAATTCTGTCCCAGGCCGCGCAACAATCCCATATGCTGTCATTGCTCCGGACCTCATCACGCCGGTAGATCTCTTCGCTTGTTTCCTCATCAGCATTTATTACATTCATCGACGAAAATTAGAGAACAAAGCGATTAACGTACTTCACAAATTGCTGTGCTCTTTCATTTTGGTTGGAAAATATTTGTAAATTAAATTACGCGAAATATTTTGCAAATATTTTGCATTAGCTTGCAGAAGGTACTAATTAACGAGAAAGCTCTAAAAATACGTATAATGTAAAAATATGAAATATGATTCGCTGTGCAAATGTTCCGCGAAAATTATCTTATCATCACTCGAAACACGTTTGAATATTTTTGTTCATTATTCTAGCCTTCAAGTAAATTGCCATACATAACATTGAATAGATACTACTCGTTTCTATTTATTATTGCAAATTTGTATGCTAAAACTAAGCTGAAGCGTGTAGTGTACGTAACCGAAGCAAAAAATACTAATGAAAAAGTCGATTTCCTCTCATTTAAAATATATATAAAGCAATGCGTAAAAGTCGATTAGGAATCAGGTCAAAAACTACTGTGGAATAAGTTAGTCGATCCTGCAAATCGCCTTATGTGATATAAAATCATTTCCATTGTAGCGTCCAACCAAAGACTCGGTAGAGTCGCATCAATATCGAAACCATTGCGTGTCACGCTTATGCGCGGCATAACTATAACTCTTTACATTTTTTATTGCAGGCTATAAGCAGTGTCCAGTCAGATTACAACTATCTAACGCGACTCCCGTGAGCATCACATTGAGCACAACTCGCACAGGGTCTCAATACCAAGCGAACGCCGTGAACAAGTCGAATCCTTCATGTCATTCTTTGAGACAAAGTCGCTGTTAAAGGACATTGCTGATAGAGCAAAATTATTGGGACATCAGTCACAGGAGCATTGGCCTCATTAGCATCACAATCGTTTTCACATCTTCGAAATGCCGATGAAAGTGTGTAACATTTCTCCGCATTATATAACATATTATTACGAGCTATAAGTGAAATTTCTGAATATGCAGTTGCGAAAACACATGTTGATAGATCGCATGATTTGTCGCGTATAAAAATTGAGAGATCTTTGCCGATCGCAAAAATTTCGCCAAAATGTGTGCATAACATTTATATCTTACGTGACAAGTAAGTCATCAGTTTTGAAAATTACCCGCCTTCTCAAGCACTATTGTGTTGACACCATGTTTTTTTGAATATCTATAGATAAAATATATATTCTTATAAATACCAAGTGTCGTGCAATGTTTTTCGATGCGCTCTTTAACTCGTTAACATAACAACATATTTTTCTGCAATTATGCAATCTTATCTTGACGCGACATCACTTTTTCTTTTTTTTTATGATGTATAAATTTCCGTGCGTGTGAGATTTCTGCAAATTCCTCACTATTCATGGAATCATGCACCGCCGCTTCGTCCCACTTTCTTCGTCCTAGTCCCTGTAAATGTAGGTCTCCCCCAGTATCTGTCGCAGCTGCCACCAGGTAATATTCGTAATCGCGAAGGAGAGGGAATGGCTAGGCGCGGGAATATCATACGGTCGCTTATACTTTTAGCCATTCGATCGGCCGTTAGTGTATTCCGTTCGCGTACGATTGATGGACTATAATTATATGTTAAACACATATTATTTGTAGGTATGTGTATGTGGGTGCATGTATATGAAAAAAGTCTGACCAATTTGCTGCAATCGATATCCAGTGCAAATGCGATTGGTTGCAACAAACGTGAGAATTAATTTTATTTATTAACAAATAATCGTTGTGTAGAAAATATAAAAATCACACTGCGAAATTTTTCGCAGCATTTTTTCACAAAATTTTGCATATAATGTGCCAAATAGAATTCTAAATGACGCGAGGTAAGTCCGATTTTGTTTCAAGTATTATTGCACGAAAGGAAATTATATACTAATATTTATTTTTTTTTATTTTAGAATTTTCTGGAAAAGATTGCGCGGTCTGCCAATAATTAAACAATGTTTTTCTCGTATTTACACGAGGAACTTATTAAAGAAATTCCAGCAAAAAAACGTCGCTTTGAACTTTGAACTAGTGTAAAAAGAATAGTGCAGCGTAGAAAGAGTATGAAAATTTTTGAAAAGTCTATAGCCACGTAACAGTACGATGAACGTTGAAAAAGTAGATATTTTGGAAAAGATGCGGTCAATATACTTGACCTTTTTCGTTATCGTGTCGACATGCAACCCGACCGCGCAGCAGCCGACATTCTTCAGAAACACATTCAAAGGACTGAACGGCTTCTCGCCGAAGACTCATGCAAATGACGAAATAAGAGCCGTTTATTATCATGAGCAAACAGTGGCAATAGTTGATCTCGGCCCGCGAAATGAACTGCACGATTGCAATATAATTGAAGTATAGTAAGTGATTATCGTACCACTTAGACTGAATCGAAACCGGTTCTCAATGTTACAATTAGTCATTTGTTTTTTATGATTTGCATAATCTTGATACGCATCATTGATTCTTTCAGCGAGCCGTTCGAGGCTACGGACGTTATACGAAATTTGTCTATGATTTTACACCCACAAGTGGTATCCTTCCAGGAGTTGACAAGACTCATGCAGCAGTGCGAATCATTGGACAGTTATCAAGTAGAGGGCACGTCTACTTTGCCCACAAACGCATTAAGCAGAGGATCTCGCATTGCTGCAAGTTCGATTACTCTGCTGTCCGGTATTCTGCCAGGTTATATATAATTATATTTATATTATATTATATTAAATTATATTATATTATATTATATATATATTATAATATTATTTTATTGTATATTATTTTCGAACGTGTAATTTCAAATGGAGGATTTGTTAGTAAAAACTAAATATCTATTTCAGGCACAAAATGGTGCGGCACGGGTGATATAGCAGAAAATTATCATGACTTGGGCGATTTGCCTCACATTGACAGGTGCTTTCGAAACACAAAGTGGTTACTTATAAATTTCTGAGAAACTTTTGAATAATATAAAATTATACTTTTCAGGTGCTGTCGTACACACGATCTCTGTCCTATAAAAATCCGAGCTCAACAGACCCGATATAATCTCACTAATTATTCATTGTATACTAAGTAAGTTATTAACAAATCGAGTTATTAAATTGATTTATATTGTCGAGGGTCTTTTTTTTTAATGTAATACATTTTTGAATAAGTGTACTGCTTTAATTAAATTATTAAATTTTGTTAATTATATATTTTAGAATTTTCAAAATAAATCTATATCAGATAACAATATAAAATTTGTCATCACTCTAAGACAATTATCAATTTCGGTTTACAGATCACATTGTACTTGCGACATGGTGCTTTATCACTGCTTGAAAGCTGCCAATCATCCAACAGCGAATCTGATGGGGCAAATATATTTCAACCTGGTCAAGGTGCCTTGTATAGAAGACACTGAAAGAAACAATTTACGGAAATTATCTAGGAAATTTGTATCTGTGAAAAGGGAATATTAATTATTAAGCGCTTTCTTCGTATCTAAACCAAGTGCGTGATACAATCCAAAAAATTAATATATTTTTTGCTAAGAAATAAATAAAATTTATTCTTTAAAATTATACGTAATAAAAAAGACTGTTATAAAAATATTATATTTTTATACATCGCAATATATAAGTAACGTTTTTTTGCAAGCAAACTATACCTTTTTAAAGCAGATATTGTTTTATGAAGGCGTTGAAGGTGTGTTTATACTCATCCAGAATATTCAATTGAGGAAAAAGCCTGATTTAGCGCTGGCAGAAAGGGTATAATGTCTTTTATATTTTTACTAACACTAGGTGATTTATGATTGTATAAATTTCCTGTAACAATTTAAAAGATAGCCTAAATTATATATTTTATTCCTATTTTATATATATATAATTTTTTTTTAAAGATTAGTATGTAGTTACCTATCAACCAGAGAGTTTCCTTTCTAATATGCATATATGGATGCGATAATAGTTTATTTAATAAAAGATGTAGATCCTTATCTAAATATTTCGGATTTCTCAGGAGGATATCTGTTTCATTTTGACAATAACTATTTAATGTATTAGCTAATATACGTATGGATGCTGTAATCTAAAATAAGAAAACTAACATGTAGAGTTTTGTAATCTTGTTGCATAAAAAAAGAGACATAACAAACCTCATTAGTACGAGTTATTTCATCAGAACTAGAAATTGTCAGATAAAGAAAATCAATAACTTGTGGCAGAATAGAGTACAAATGTATGGTGCATATTGTTGAAGAGGATAATAAAGCTAACAACCAAATAATATCTGAATTTTCATACAAGAGATTTCGTTTTATTATTGCTTGAACTAACTCTGTCATTTCACTTTCCCTGTAAATATTAACACAATAAATTTTTTTTATAAATCTTTAAATTCTTATACAATAAAAATGAGTGGAACTTACGATATCTGATGAAATCCCACACGTACATATTGCAACAGTGCATATATTACAGATGGGAAAACTGAATCATCGCAGTTATGCAATAACAAGATTAAATATTTCAGACAATGCTGTGCATGTAGAATAGAAAAAGCTTTATCACTTCCTGCAACTAAATTACCAATTGTCCAAATGCAAGTATCCTGATAAAATATACATTTATGTATTTTCACACTGTGTGATTAAATTAAATTTGATTACTCTTGATTTAGCTACGAAAACTTACTAGCAATACAAAGTTTAAGCTTTCAAGCTCGGTAATCAGATATGGTACAACTGCTTTTCCCAATGCTGTGCATGCTTTTGTATTTCCAAGAGCAATATTACAGCAGCAATTAGCTGCATATAATTGAAGAGTTGGATTGTTACCAGAAAGATCACGTGCCAGGCCTGATAAACTTTGATCTACTTTTAAAAAGGTATTTATATTCTCCTCTGACTAGAAAATACATAAAATTAAAGTTATTAGAATTTGCTATTTACATGATTCTTTATCACTTATTTATAAATATAAAAAATGTGAAATTGTTTCAAAAAATTATAAATTATGTATAAGAATATTTATAACTTTAAAGTTTGTTAATGTTTAGTGATTAAACAATTAAAACGTAAATATACCTGAATAAGAGCATTAGGCAAATATCTGTAATCCTCAAAAGATATTTTTCTCTTTTTAAGAAGTTTCACTTTTTCATTAACATACTCGATCGAAAATAGTTGACTCCTTTGACATTCTCCTAAGTTTATGCGATTTTTTCTCCATGCAAATGCTCGGTCCTCCTTTCTTTTCGTCAAAGTAGCTTCTCTTAATTCTGTTCGCATAATTTCAACAGTATTATCACTTGATTGGAGTTCCAAAGTTTCGCTTTTTTCTTCGTCGGTAGTTTGCATTTTAAATCGAATCTTATTAAATATTTATTATGCAAAATTAAACGTTATGACAATATTTTTCAGGTTAATAATTAAAACGATCACTCTTTCGTTTCAACCACTCTCTTCCTGTCATTGTATATATTTACATATATATAACCTCACCTTACATTCGGAAAATACAAACAAATTTGACTGGTAATATACCAGTCCTAGGTAATTGTATACAACTGCATTCTGCATTATCAATAGCGTGAGTAGTCGGCAAAAGGTTTCACGTGTAAAGCTAGATGGTGTAAATAGCAAAAAAAGTAAAATCAGCAGCGTGACACCTTCTATTTCTTGTACATTTTTCATGCATTGTTGTCGTGAGAGATTGCAACATCCTGTGACAAGTTGCAACCAGTTGCAACTCTATGCATAACGTGTTAAATTTGTACATGTAGTGTTCTAAATAGAATATTATAATCACAAGTGTTTAAAATATTGATAACATTACTACTAATCTTCAATCATAAGTCAAGAATTAAGAATCTAGATTAGGATAAAAAATTTAGGTTAGTATCAAGAGTTTGGGGTTAAAATCAAGTATCTTAATCACGATTATTATTAGCTGTGTTCACAAAACGTTTTGTTATATCAGGAACACAATGGATGAAGTGAATAAACTGGAACACCTCTCTTTGGTGTCAAAAATCTGCACGGAGTTGGAAAATCATTTGGGATTGAACGACAAGGACTTGGCTGAATTTATTATACATCTGGCCGAGAAGAACGACACATTCCCAGCGTTCAAGAAGGTATTGATCGAGAATGGAGCAGAATTCTCGGATTCTTTTATGGCCAATCTGCTCAGAATAATACAACATATGAAACCTACCAAAACATCTTCTGAGAAGCTATCCAAGCTTATGAATAAGCAGGATGAACTGGCGATTAAGTTTCCTGCGCTGGCGTTACCGAATGAGGATCTGCAGCGTCCCGTTGCAAACGATGCGAAAGATGAAGATATTGTTAACGATGTTATGGCCTCCCTGGAATCATTTGCACCGTCCAATAGAAAGCAATCTGCAGACATCGAAAAAAATAACAGTGCGACTGATAGCAGCACTGAGAAGAAGCATAAACGCGGAAAAAAAAGCAGAAGCAGATCGAGAGATAGAAGAAGACATAGATCGAGATCGCCGAATCGAAAAGAGAGGCGGCATCGATCTAGATCGCGCTCCAAATCCCGGAATCGTCACAGATCGCGCGATAGAACGCGTAGGAGGCGTTCCGGATCCCGGGAGCGCAGAAGATCGCCGTCCCGCGATCGTAGAGATGCGAGACACAGGAAACGCGACGCCGACAGATCGCGATCGAGATCCGTCGAGGAATCGCTCGCAATGGAACCGGAAGTTAGTAAAATTTATGCTGGCAAGGTCGCGAACATCGTGCCATTTGGCTGTTTCGTTCAACTTGAAGGCCTGAGGCGCAGATGGGAAGGTTTGGTTCATATCTCCCAATTGAGGCGCGAAGGTAGAGTGGCAAACGCGAGCGACGTGGTCTCGAGAGGTCAAAAAGTCCTGGTGAAGGTTCTCAGCGTCGGTGGACAGAAGGTATCCCTGAGCATGAAGGACGTCGATCAAGAAACCGGCAGGGATCTGAATCCCGTGATGGCAGTCGTGAAAGCGGAAGAAGACGAGAAGCGACTGCGCAATCCGGACAGACCTACGTCTTTGTTGGAACTTCAGGGCAACTACGACGAAGACGAGACGTACTCGAGGAAGCGCGTGCAGCGCTTGTCGTCGCCAGAGAAGTGGGAGATCAAACAGATGATGGCTGCGTCGTGCATCGACAGGAGCGAGTTACCGGAGTTCGATACGGAAACGGGGATCCTGCCGCGGGAAGACGACGAGGAGGAGGACGTAGAGATCGAACTCGTCGAAGAGGAGCCGCCGTTCCTGCAAGGTCACGGTAGAGCGCTGGGCGATCTCAGTCCTGTCCGGATAGTGAAGAATCCGGACGGCTCGTTAGCGCAAGCGGCGATGATGCAGAGCGCTCTGGCGAAGGAGCGAAGGGAGCAGAAGATGCTGCAACGCGAGCAGGAGATGGATTCGGTGCCTACCGGCTTAAACAAGAACTGGATCGACCCGCTACCGGAAGCAGAGAGTCGCACGCTGGCGGCGAATATGCGCGGAATCGGATTGCAGACGCAGGATCTTCCCGAATGGAAAAAACACGTGATAGGCGGCAAAAAATCATCGTTCGGCAAGAAAACAAATCTTACGTTACTGGAGCAACGTCAAAGTCTGCCGATCTACAAGCTGCGCGACGATTTGGTGAAAGCGGTGACGGATAATCAGATTCTGATCGTAATCGGGGAGACTGGCTCGGGCAAAACAACGCAAATTACGCAGTATCTTGCGGAATCCGGTTTTACAGCACGCGGCAAGATCGGCTGCACGCAGCCGCGACGAGTCGCAGCCATGAGCGTGGCCAAGCGCGTGGCCGAAGAATTCGGCTGCTGTCTCGGTCAAGAGGTAGGCTATACGATCCGTTTTGAGGATTGCACCGGGCCGGAGACCAGCATCAAGTACATGACGGACGGTATGCTGCTGCGCGAGTGCCTGATGGACCTGGATCTGAAGGCATACTCGGTGATTATGCTGGACGAGGCGCACGAGCGCACGATTCACACGGACGTGCTGTTCGGTCTGCTGAAGCAAGCGGTCGGCCGCAGGCCCGATCTCAAGCTGATCGTCACCAGCGCCACCCTGGACGCGGTCAAGTTTTCGCAGTACTTCTTCGAGGCGCCGATTTTCACCATTCCCGGACGCACGTTCGATGTTGAAGTTATGTACACGAAAGAACCGGAGACGGATTATTTGGACGCTGCGCTGATCACCGTCATGCAGATTCATCTGCGTGAACCGCCGGGCGATATTCTGCTCTTCCTCACCGGTCAGGAAGAAATCGACACGGCCTGCGAGATTCTCTACGAGCGCATGAAGTCGCTCGGTCCGGACGTGCCGGAGCTGATTATTTTGCCGGTTTATTCGGCTCTGCCCTCGGAAATGCAGACCAGAATATTCGAGCCGGCGCCGCCCGGCTCGCGCAAAGTCGTCATCGCCACGAACATCGCCGAAACCAGCCTGACGATCGACGGTATTTATTACGTTGTCGATCCGGGCTTCGTCAAGCAGAAGGTGTACAACTCCAAGACTGGAATGGACAGTCTTATAGTGACGCCGATCAGTCAGGCAGCGGCGAAGCAGAGGAGCGGGAGAGCCGGCAGAACCGGACCTGGAAAATGTTACAGATTGTACACCGAACGGGCTTACAGAGACGAGATGCTGCCTACACCGGTCCCGGAGATTCAACGGACAAATCTGGCCACCACCGTGCTGCAGCTCAAAACTATGGGCATCAACGATCTATTGCATTTCGATTTCATGGACGCACCGCCCGTGGAGTCGCTGATTATGGCGCTGGAGTCATTGCACAGTCTGAGCGCCCTCGACAACGAAGGTCTGCTGACCCGACTCGGTCGGCGAATGGCCGAGTTCCCGCTGGAGCCGAACCTATCCAAGATGCTGATCATGAGCGTGCATTTACAATGTTCCGATGAGATCTTGACCATCGTCAGCATGCTGTCCGTGCAGAACGTCTTCTATCGGCCGAAGGACAAGCAAGCCTTGGCCGATCAAAAGAAAGCGAAATTCAATCAACCTGAGGGCGATCACTTGACTTTGCTGGCAGTCTATAATTCCTGGAAAAATAATAAGCTAAGTAATGCCTGGTGCTACGAGAATTTCGTGCAGATCAGGACGCTGAAGCGCGCTCAGGACGTACGTAAGCAACTGCTGGGCATAATGGATAGGCATAAGCTGGACGTGGTGTCAGCCGGCAAGAACACTGTGCGCATACAGAAGGCAGTGTGCTCAGGATTCTTCAGGAACGCCGCGAAGAAGGATCCGCAGGAAGGATACAGGACATTGGTCGACAGCCAAGTCGTGTACATTCATCCGAGTAGCGCGTTATTCAATCGCCAACCGGAGTGGGTCATCTATCACGAACTCGTACAGACCACGAAGGAATATATGAGAGAAGTGACGACTATCGATCCCAAATGGCTTGTGGAATTCGCACCCGCGTTCTTCAAGTTCAGCGATCCGACCAAGCTTAGCAAATTCAAAAAGAATCAAAGACTGGAGCCGCTCTACAACAAGTATGAGGAGCCGAATGCGTGGAGAATATCTCGGGTTCGCAGGCGACGTAATTAAAAGATACGCTTAGGACTTTTGTATGCAAGCGAGTGTAAATACTGTTCTGTTATAATGATCTTTGGTGCGTACAAAAAATAGGCGTTTCATTTTTGTGAAAGTTTTTAAGACAGAAAAAATGATTCTAGTTCAAAGTAGCGTTTTTTTTTTTAAATCGTTTTTACACTTGCATCTACAATGATGAGACTTTGTGGGATGGAGAACACTTTTATTTCATATGTATGACATTCGGTTCTGATACATGTAAAAAATACTCTATCATCAGAAAGCAAGGAATGAAGACATTTTGTGATAAAATCGCGAAAATATCAACACGACTTTATTACAAGCTATGAAGCTCACGAGGAAAACGATTGAGGAAAGTATTATGATCATTGAATTATTTACAAGATTATGCTATTATAAAAGGAGGAATATTTACAATTTCCACGGTGTACATAGACTAAACATTGTAAACTTTGTAAATATAATCATATTCATCACGTCACAATAGACTTTCAATATTTGTCATTGTTTTAAGATCTGTTTTGATAAAATATGATACAAATTTCGATAATCAGTCTTAGAGAAGAGGGCAACATTTTAAGATTATACATTTGCAGTCTTTCCCCTCTTGATTAATTATTAAATTTATTAAATAAATACATTCTCAATAAACATTTAGTATGATGACATAGGGAACCATTCATATCTCTCTAATTCTTCCCCTTTTTTAAATTTATCTTTGTGTTGTGGTAACCGAGTTAGTTTATGTGGACGCATATACATATAACACGGTTAAAACACCATTTGTATAAAAGAATCTACAGAAAATTTATAACCCCTCGAAAGAGGCAGATTGATATTTTGTGGTCAGGAAATATTTTCTTTTCACTTCTGCACACTTCTTATGATATAGTTCGATAATAACTGTTTCTTGGCTCAACAGTACAAAGTATATCTTCAAAAAAAAAAAAAAATAATTCTGTACAAATTGAACTATTGAGATTGTTGTTTCTTTTTCACTAATTCCACCAATTGTTTATAGCGCGCCTGGCATTCCTCCTGTAAACGAATTATAAGAGAATTAATAAAAGAAAAGAAAAATCAGCATTTTTTAATTTTTTTCATAAGCGATTTAACGCACTGAGTACTTTTTAATAATTATACCTTCGTCTTCCCTTCGACGCAATTTGCAATTTTTTCCCATCTATCTACAGATGCACCTTTGGGATATTTCGTGAGGGCCGCTTCTAACGCTCTTTGTTCCTCTTGACTCCACTCAACAGCGCTAGCTGTGTTCTCGCTGCGTGTTTTAATCTTCTTTGGTCTCTCCTCCGCAGCAACTTCCTCTGCCGATTCACCAGGCTTCAAGCCTTCATCTTTGACCTAATATAACGAAGTATATTTCTCAGTTTCTCATTTTCTCGTTTCATTAAAGAAAACTAATGTAACAACCTTTTTAGCCATGTGCGTAACTTCCGCGACTGTGCGATTCATAACGCTCGCAATTTTTTCCCATCGTTCCGGAGTTCCGCCGGGATATTTTTTTACACACTTTATCAATTCTAATATATCGTTATCAGTCCATAAGCCGCCAGACACTATTGGCTTCTCAAAGACGTGATTCGTATAATCACAATCCTCTTTCTTTGCAGTCTCCTTAAAATTACTAGCGTTTCTTTCTTGCGGAGTGAAGCCAGTCCTACGTTTCCTAACGCCGCGTGACGTTACTTCGGGTTCAGATTGTTCGTTCTCTTGCGCTCTGTAACATGAAAGTTTAGATATTTCTCCCAAAGCGACGTAAATTGTAATAAAAGAGGTTATACTCACAACGCTTCCTCTTCCTCCTGTTTTTTCTTCTCCTTCCTTTCTTTTAAGAGTTGAATAATGCAACGAATGGTAGACGGAATACCTATTATTGAATTTATTATCCACCTTGGTAGTTGGAATGGAAGAGTATTCCATACAGTTGGAGTAGGAATTTTTTCCAAGATGTCAGCCAGATCCGGAATATCCATTTTGCTCTTTCTATTTTTCTTTTGCATTTTTTGGAGTTTGCTACCTAAAACTTGCCCCTGTAATTATATTTAAAAATAATAATTTTTACATCCAACAGAAAGAAAAACAAATATAAACAATGTTTTGTTATTTACATAAGTGTAGCGTTTCTCCAAGTATGCCGCCCATGCTACAACATATTGTCCTATTGTGACAGTTATAAATAGAAGACCACTCATTTCCAATAGTCCCACTTTCCGAACACGACGGTAGTAATATACTGCTGATCGCCAATTTGGCAGACCATTAACGAGTACATTATCATATTTTTGTCGCTTTCCGGGATCTTTTAAAATGTCGTAAACAGCTACTAACTAAAAAGGAAAAAACAAAACTGTCAATATATCAATCATTTCCATATGCTACCTTGATTTGTACAAGTACCTTTCTAAATTGTTGTTCCGCATCCGCTGCAGGATTTTTGTCCGGATGCAATTGCAATGACAAGCGTCTAAATGCTTTTTTGACATCCGAGGCATTCGCGGACTGAAAAAAAATTATTTATTAATTATAATCTGACTCATCCTTGTGTGTATCTACACTTAATTACATGGAATCGTGCAAATGTATACGTTCAAATTTCACAGAAAAGTACCTGCGTAACGCCCAGGACTTCGTAGAAATTTTGATTGACTTCCTCGACCACGTCGAACACTTCCAAATCATCGTTATCCCACGCATGGGAGAATCTAAACACGGTCAGAAAATAAAAAATCCCAAAAACGATCAATGGTACATTCATCTTTGAACACCGCATATAAACATAGCTATTGATAGACGCGCATTTCCTCGGTGCTTCGTGCGAAATTCGAATTTTACTAGGACATAATGCTGTTTTTCGCCGTTTATCCTAGCGGTCGTGTCCGAGAATCAGGTTAGAAATCTTTTTGTACACAGGTGCCACATCGCACCTTTATCTTATCCACGATTTTCTATATATTAAATTTGCAATACGGCCAATACGTATGTATATACGAATGTCGAAAATCAGTTCAATGTAAACAAGCTTGTCTTGCGTTTTAACCAATGATTGTTAACGGCGATAAAAAATGCTTGCGATAAAAATCCTTATAAACGATTCATACTGGATCCAGTATTCTGCATTCGATGCACTATACAGATGTCCAATAAAAAACTTTTTAGAACGAATGTCCCTGCAGCTTTGCAGATTTGCGTGAATGCGGCCTAAAATTAAGAAATGTTTACTGCATATGGCCACAGACGTTCCATCGCGTCCAGTATGTTTTTTTATTTCTTTTAATGCAACCAGTGGTTGTCATGGTTGTTGGTAATTGTCGGTGGTTGTCAATGAAAAACCGTTATTCAAAATGGATTTGCAAATCACCGACAAATTTTGACTTTTTAATAATAGTCAACATGTGAAAGGTACCGATCGTATGAGTGCCAGTTATGATCCTTTGAAATGTGCTATCTTTACGTGTTGTTATTTCGCAGATTTTGAGAATTCGAACGAAATATAAGAGGACTAACCCACAACCTCACTTATGCCTATTCATGCAGATATTTCCATTTTAAAAGTAGCAAAGGTCTCGTTCGGTCAAAATGTTAGAAGGACTTGTAGCTTGGGTGCTGAACAATTATATCGGCAAATATGTGGAAAATTTAAACACAGATCAGCTGAGCATTGCTATGTTATCAGGTGAGGTTATATTACACTTCATATTTAAATTGTAGAATTTTTAAAAAAATATTGTTTGACTCGTCAACAATGTATTTCTAACGTGTTGTTGAAATACATAGCTTTTATATAATATGCTAATTGAAAATGATGTGTATTTTTTTTCTATTGCATTTATTTAGTGCCAATTGCATACTTCAATTAGAATATTGTCTTGTAGTTTATTGCATATATTTTGTTATTTATGCAAATGTTTTTATAGGAACTGATTAATTTTGTAACTAGGTATTTAATTAATTAATTTTTTTATGAAAATTCTATAATTACGCTGCATTTACTTTTTATTCGAATTTGACAAATTTATTTTTATTAGGGGAGGTTGAACTAGAAAACTTACCCTTGAAACGTGAAGCTTTGCGTCACATTGGTCTACCAGTGGAAGTCAAGGCTGGATTTATTGGTAAAGTTAGATTGCAAGTACCAGTTAGACAAATAAGAACTGCATCATGGGTGATAGGTATTGAACAGCTTTACCTAGTTGCAGGACCAATTAATTTGGACGAGGTAAATTGTTACAAAGAATTTCTCTTATTGTCGACAAAATGTTAATAAAGATTATAGAGTAAATAAATGATATGTTTAAGAACTTTATTTATTTTCTGTAATCACAATACATGTTATTCTACATGTTAAAAAACGAATTATTGATGAGTCTCAAAAACTGAATTCAGAAAATAATTTACAAATGATGAATTTTAATATGAATGTTATTAGCGTTATATTTTAAACGTACTTGTATCTTTTCCAAAATTTTTTGCATCAATGCCCTTTTTATAGTATGACAGTGAAGCAGAGGATCAAGCAATACTGGACTACAAACTCAGTCGTTTGGAAGCTTTGGAAGCCAGGTGGAGAGCTGACATAGATCATGATCCTGGTTATTATGCCTCGAGCTATAGTTCGTGGATGAATTTTGGCACATCTTTAATAACAAATATCATCGAAAATTTACAGTTGAATATTAAAGATGTTCATATTAGGTATGAAGATGGTGTTACGTTGCCTGAAGGTAAGCAATTTTTTATATATATAAATATAGAATTGATTTTTGGGTATTAAAATACTATTGCTAATGAAATTTATGGTTCTTTCTATTTTAGATAATGGCATTGCATTCGGTATTAGGATTGGAGCATTAACTGCTCAAAGTTGCGATGCTAGTTGGATACCTGGTTCCACATCATGGAATTTAACGGACGCGTCTTTTAAATTAATGGAACTCGATAGTCTTTCTGTTTATTGGAACCACGTGAAGAAGGATCAACTTTTTGGTGGTCTTAATTTAGGAGATCTAGCTGTAAGTGTAATATAAAATTTAGTATATATGATAACATAACGATCATATATAGATTACATAATATAAATGTACTGATATTGTGCTTTCTCATTTCATCTGTACATTAACGTTATTTTAACATTACACTAATATTTTTTACTGATTTTAGATTGCCATGAGCGAATCCAATAATGCAATGAAGCAGAACATTTTATCACCCGTGAATGCAAGGGCGCATATTAAGAGAGATCGAACTGAACGTCCATTAAGATCCATTAACAAACCACGTATCGTAGTAGACTTACTTTTGGATGAAGTACCTTTATCTATAACAGATGTGAGTATAATCAATTTGCGATAAAACACTTTCTGATTTTTGTAATGCGATAAATTATTATGTTTAGATTCAATATGAAGAAATGGTGAAATGTATCAAGGAGCTTGATCGCATAGATCGCCGTAAACAACAGTGGCGTTGTAGACCCGTAGTTCCCATTAAAGAAGGTTACAGAGAATGGTGGAGGTACGCTGCCAGGTGTCATCTCGGCAGAGATACGCTGAAACCTAAACCATCGTGGGGAGATGTGCTTGTCAGAGCCAAAGAGAACGTTCTTTATGTTCAAGCGTACGCTAAGTTGTTAGGTAAAAACAAATATCGATTCTTCCGCAAATTTTCACGACAGACTTGTCTCGGACGATGAATATTTTACTTAATTATATTTTCTTCTTCTACCAGGCACACCCACTTCAATTTTACCTCAGGAAACGAAAACATTGAAGGAGAAGGTTGAGCAGGAGCGGAGTTTCGATGAACTTCGAGTGTTGAGAGAACTCGCCATGCAAAAGACGAAACCTGTAAAATCGCAACTGGAGTCTAACGCGAAGGTGCCGCAGGGACGCGGCATGCTCGAGCAATGGTTTCCGTTGTGGTGGGGCTGGTATTCGAAGACGCCTCCCAGCAACAACGGAACGCAGAACGGAGGCAGCTCGACTACGTTCGACGGAGAACTACTTGACGTTCTGGCGGACACCATAGACGATGACACGCTGCTGCGTCGTGACATGGTGTTTGGACAGTTCAACTTCGCTCTGGTGCAAGGCGCGATATCGCTGTGCACGGCAAAGCGCGGTGGCGACAGCACGAAAACCGTGATAGAGCTCAAGTTCGAGAGAGTGAATCTGAGTTATGATTCACGACCCAGGTCCGGATCGCACAAGTTCTCCATCAGTCTGGGCGCATTGTATCTGCGCGATTTTCTCACGGAGAACTCTACGTTTCCCATCCTGGTGCAGCCTCAGGTAGCGTCGAGCGGCACGTCGCGCGTCCGCAGTTTATCGGAGAAGGAAAAGGCAACGAAGGAGACGCCGCACCATCTGTTCGAACTGGTTTACGAAAAGCGACCGTTGCACGTGAGCACGGATCATTTGCTGCACGTGTACTCACAATCCCTGGACGTCGTGTACAACTCGACTGTGATATACTGGCTGATAGACTTTATATGCAAGCCGCACCGATCGGCGTCGTCCAATCAGCGTTTCCAGGCGATGAAACGTCGCACGAGGAGGCAGCTGATTAAAAATTGGGAGCAGATTCTGGACGGTGATCTCGTGTATCGCTCGTCGTGGGATTTGCAGTTCAAGATTTCGGCGCCGCAGATCCTGTTGGTGGAGAGCTTCGTCGATTCCAACGCCGCCGTGGTGGTGGTCGACTTCGGCAAGTTGCATCTGTCAAACGACACGAATCTTAATCAGGAGATACTGAAGACAGAGCCCGCCATCAGCGACGACGACGAAGAAGAGGAAAGATTCGAGACGCCTTGCTCTACTCCGCCTGGCAGCCAAGAAAACGGCTCGCTGACCGACTTTCAGTGCCTATCTGAGACAGAGTTGCACAAGAAATTGTACGATCAATACACTATCGATCTGGTGGATCTGCAGATTCTGATGGGCAAGGCGAAAGACAACTGGAAGCACGTTCGTACGAGAGGCATGTCAACTCTGCACTTCCTTGAGCGCTTTAACATATCGTTGCAAGTCGAACGACGCGTTTTCACCACATCGGATCCCAGCTTCCCGTCGGTCACCGTTTCGGGCAATCTGCCGCGACTGGTGGTGCATGTGAATGAGCAGAAAGTGGGTGCGATACATTTAATGTATAATTTATTGTCGAGCTTCTCCAAGTCCGCCGATGTCCCGCAGACGGAAGTCGTCAATGTAGCGGAGCCTGAGAGTCCTAGAAGAGAAGAGAATCTCGATCGTTCGTTGAGCCACGCGGTGATGGTGCAATTTATCATCGATCAAATGGCCTTCGAGTTGCAATCGAGAGGCCGCAGCGTGGCAGAGCTGCAAGTTTCCGGCGTTCAAGCGGCTCTTAGCAAAAGAATGGCGGATCTGAGTGTCTCCCTCTCCGTCCACGGACTACTTCTGGTTGATGCTCTCCAAGAATTCGGGCCCGATTTTGAACTGCTAGTGGCCAGTCACAAGCACGTCGGCATGGACAGCATTTCCGGCAGCTTGAGAGACTCGGAACCAACGTCGCCGGTTTCGCCTGTATCGCCCGAGTCGCCGGATTCCGCGAGACCGCCACGACTGACTTCCCCCGTCGCTCTCACCAACGCACTCTCCACCTTAGTAAGCAAAGGCAAGGTTTTGCACTCGCCTAGGAATAGCTCGGCGGTCGGCTTGGAAAAATTAGACTCGGAGGCGCTGATTGTCCTGGAGCTGACATTGGTGAACGATCCCACGGAGAATCTGAGAATGGCGAACATACAATTCAACAATCTCGACATCATAGCCAATCAGGAGACGATAGTAGAATTACTCGGCTTCTTCCGACGAATTTTGCCGCTGCAGAAATCGCGATCGGCGCATATCGCGAACCTGGACGACTCCGCGGCGAATCAAAGCACGGAGACGAAATTGACATCGACGAGAACGGAGATCACCTTCGATTTTCACCGCTTGAACGTGCTTCTTTTGCGCGCGGTTGTGCAAGACAATCATTTGGTGGGGCAGAAGATCGCAACGGCGACCATGACGGACGCGCGCATACAGGCGACCTTAGCCGCGGACACGTCGATCTCAGGCTCTCTCGGCGGAGTGCAGGTTCTCGATCAGACGCCGACCGGAAAGACGCATCAACGAATAATCAGCGTGGGTAGAGATCCGCTGGCGGATCCACCGCAGCATCCGCTCGAGCATTTCAGCGGTCTGCCCGATCAACAACCGGAGGCGTTCCGATTCATGGCCAGCCGCAGCACCAGGCAGGCCAGCGACGAGGATTGCTGCGCGGAGATTGACCTCGATCTCACGATACGCGTGGCCAGTGTCTGGTACACTCACGCGCCGCACTTGATATCGGAATTGCGCTCGTGTGCCGACGAGTTCAAGCAGTACCTGAGCAACTTTGCGCGTCAGATCAGCGCGGCCGCCACCGATATGGCGATCGGCTTAGTGAACGCCGACGACTGGTCGATTCCGCCGCGCAAACGCTTGCCGAGCATCTCCGCGCTCGACGTGGATACCGCGAACACGCTGTCGTTGAGGCTGGACGTGCTGCTGGAGAGCCCGGTGCTCGTGATACCGCGCTCCTCCCACAGCAAACAAGCATTCGTGGCGCATCTGGGCACGATGTCGCTGCGCCACGAGCCTCATCTGGAATCCATGGCGAAGCACAAAGTCACATTGGAGGTGCGCGACATGAATCTTTATTCTCTCGAGATGTCCGCCCACACCGGACAGACACAGAGCAATCTGCCGATGCGAGCCGACGAGATGTACTCGTGCAAGGAATCCGGCAAACCGATACTGCACGATACGACGCTGAAGATCCTCGTGGAGAAGCAGAACACTTTGACGCAGAGCACGAGCTTTCTTCTCGACGGCGGCGACTTCACGAACAATAGTCCGCCGATCGTGCAGGTGCACGGCGCCGTGATAACGCCACTGAGAGTGTCCTTGTCGCGCGGCCAGTACGAGCAGTTGCTTGACACGATTCACCGATTATTTTCCATGCCCGCTGTGACAGCGACGGCCGCGGTCGCGGAATACGATGATCCCGACGGAGTGTCCGGCTACTCGGAGAAGCTGGATCTCTGCGTGAAGGTCTCGTTCGAGCTGCCGACCTTCAGCGTGCAGTTGAAGCAGGCGCATTCGGAGCAGCCGTTAGTGGAGCTGTCGATGCGCGATTTCGTCGTGAAATACGAGAAGCTGTACCGAAACGAGTCGAACGTGCAGGTCGCGCTGCGCTCTCTTCTGATGGAAGATCTGCTGTGCCCGGTCGGCTCGCGACATCGCTACATGATGCAGTCGTCGGCGCCCGCGCGCGCGAAATTGTCCACATGTGCCTCGAAATCCTGTCCGGATCTCGCGTTCGCGCGGCAGTACAAGAATGCCTTCGGTCGCGGTAGTTTGCCCGATCGATTGGAGACCGACACTTTGTACGGAGCGATTCCGGCGCACTGGCGCAGGAAGCCGACGATCTCGTCGGCCGACACGCCGAACACGCCGCCGCCATCACCGGGCGGTATCACCAGCGAAGAGAATCTGGTGCTATTGAGCATCACGATGACACGGCCCGAGGAGAACGGCTGCGTCGTCCCACCGGAAGATCGGTTCCATCGCAAAATGGTAACCGTGGACTTCAATTGTCTGGACTTAGTGATAAGCGTGGAGTCGTGGATGGTGGTGTTTGACTTCTTTGGAATTGCAGGCCTATCCGGGACAGCGAGTAGCGAAATCTCCGCGCATCGAGCCACGCCGGACAGCGATCGCACGGGCTCGAGCAAGGCAGACGACGACGATCTGCCGGCGAGATCGGAAACGGAGATAGAAGTGAGATCGCTGACGCTGGTGCTGACGCAAATGGAGCGCGAGATCGCGAAGGCGAATGTGTCCAACGCCAGCATGCACATTCTCAAAGCGGAAGACGGCAAAACGAAGATCTCGGGATCGCTTGGCTCGATGTCGCTGCTAGATTTGACGCCGCACGGCCGTTTCTACCGCGAGAGATTCCTGTCGTCCGGCAGAAAGGCGCTCAACTTCCAATATTCGAGCTACGCCGACTGCGAGGACCGGCCGCACGACGCCAGACTCAAGCTGGAAATGTCCGCGGTGCACTACGTTCACACGCAGAGATTCGTGGCGGAGCTGCAGGCATTTTTCGGCCACTTTTCGCAATTATGGAGCATTATGCGAAATCTACGCACTGGCGCCGGCGCTATTATAGATATGAACAAACGCGGCACGCGACTGTCGTTGGAATTGCATGCTGGCGCGCCGGTAATACTGCTGCCGGTGAGCTCCAGGTCCGACGAGTTGATTTTACTAGATTTGGGCGAGCTCACGGCGCACAACAGATTCGATACCTCAACGATCGTTCCGGAATGCCTGCTGGACGTGATGCTGCTCGAGCTGCTCAACATGGATGTGTACGCGGCGCGGCGGCTGAGTTACGACGCGAGCCTGAACGAAGACGTGGATGCCCTGATGGTCGCCGGCTTCCTCGTGAAGAAGATGGGCTCCTCGCTGCTCACAGAAAAGTGTCACCTGAAGCTGCGCGTCGAGCGGAATCTTGATACTTACATCAGCCGCGACATACCCGATCTCAGTATACACGGTATACTGTCGACGATGGACTGCGCTCTAGATCCGGCGCAATATATGCTGATTCGTGGTCTTCTGTCTTACAACATCAGCGAGAATCTGGATGATCTGCGCCTTTTTGTCCAGGATCTGAATCACACGGTAGAGTACGCAATTCCGGCGGACAATCGCGCGAAAACGTGGACTCGATCCTGCATAATTCTCGAGCTGGTGAATGTGACGGTAAAACTGCATCCGAGTCACAACATCGCAGCGCTTGCGTGCGTCAATTTCATCAAATCTCGATTAACGCTGGACTCGCTGAGCGACGGCTCGCAGGATATCGATCTGGTGTCGCAGGAGATCTTGATTACGGACACGCGTTTCGCGAACGAGCCGATCGACCGGCGGTGCAACGTGTTCACGCGGATTCTGCAACCGTTGAGGAGCTCGGCCGACGTTATCGAGGCCGCGGAAGACCGCGTGCAAGCCGAGGTGCATCATCGAAAGCGCAAGGCTTACTCGGCAACCACTATTCTGCTGCACAGCATGCGATTGACCGCCATTCTGGACTGGTGGGAAGCTGTACGAGACTTTCTGCTGCTGAACTCGCCGGCGCCAGATCCTGTACCAGGAATCGCACAAGTGTTAATTATCAATAAAGAAGCGGAAACTGCCGAAACCGCTGCCACTGCCGTCGCCGTGCCGTTCGTGCTGAAAATCAACATTACGGACTCCGAACTGGTTATCGTCGAAGACACCGCCATTTCTGACACTAATGCTGTAATTCTGAAGACCACCGCTGTCCTGTCATACCGTTCGACGCCGAGAGACGGCGAGAAACCGCTCTCCTGCAACCTCTCGCATTGCGAGCTGTTTTCTTGCATTTTAGGCCAAGAGAACGAGACCGCCTTGTCGATCATTGATCCGGTCGGAGCGAGTCTCGATCTGACACAAAACAAGTGCCTGGAAATCCAACTGCAACCGCTGTGCGTGAGATTAAGTTACCACGATGTGACTATGTTTTCCAGAATGCTGAGCTCGCTTCCTAAGCAGACTTTGTGGGCGAAGCAACGGTCGAGCGAAGCGGCGGCAGCGATAGCAGAGTGCGGCCAAGTAATGGACGATCAGGTGTTGAAACTGATCAGCTTGGGCTTCGCCGAGGCCGACTGCAAGATCGCGTTGGATTACTGCGACGGTCAACTAGACGACGCCGCTCTATGGCTGACGCAAAACGCGATGCCGACGAGTCCTGCAGCGGCCGTGGCGAACGACGGATCGGTCTTCCGTACCGTAGAATTACAAGCAGCCTGCATGCGGATCTGCATTATCGATGATTGCCGCGACGCGGATGTGCCGCTGCTGGAGATCACGCTGGCGGATTTCAGCATGCGGAAGGTAAACCAGCAGCCTGGCTTGCTGTCGGCCGTCTTCGGCGTGGATTATTATAACCGAGTGCTCAGCGGCTGGGAACCGTTCGTCGAACCGTGGCGGGCAAACATTCAATGGGAGCAGAGGATCACCAGCTCGTTCGATCCGCGGAGACTCTACGTATCCATCGATTCTCAGGATTCCGTGAATGTTAACGTCACTCTAACATTAGTGGAGCTCGTGCAACTAGTCAAACACAATTGGACGCAGGATTATTATTTATCGAACGGCGGCACAGCCGCTGGCAGACCGGCGATAAGAGGTCAACTGTATCGACGCCGATCGCCCTTTATACCTTTCGCCTTGAAGAACGACACCGGCTGCAGACTTTGGTTCAAAACATTCATCGCTACTACGGACGACACAATAGATGTCGATAAATCATTGTCTCAAGCGAAAAACGTCTCGAACAAGGACGACACATGGATAGAAGTGTCTCCGGGAGATACAACGCCGTTTACCTTCGAAGAGAGAGGCAAGCTAAGGCATCATGCGACACATATCGTTAGGAGACACCAGATCGCAGTTCTCGTCGAGGGATGGAAAGCGGTAGATCCCGTAACCGTCGATCGCGTGGGTATTTATTTCCGGCACGCGAACGCTGACACTGTCGAATCAAAGGTACAGTTATTTTATTATAATATATTCATATTTAAATAATAGCAATTTTTGTGTATTTATTATATTATTAAAATTATATAAACACTTTCATACATTTATATACATTTTCTACAGAAAACTTTATATTAATTAATTTGTAATATTATATTTTATATTTCTCATTATCATGCTTTACCCATTTTATTTATTCTATTACGGTTTTTTTTAATTAAAATAATTATTTACAGAATATAATAAATATAATAATAATAATAATAATAATAATAATAATAATAAAAATGTTTAGTTTCAAGTACTCACACCGAAAGCTAGAGTCGTGTTTGCCGTCGAGCTGGAGGGATCCGCCAGGAAGTTGGTCACCGTTCGATCAGCTCTTCAAATATCCAACAAGCTAGCTCATCCAATCGAGATCAAGATGGAAAAATCGTTGAATCAGCTTGGATGTTAGTTATTTTTTTATTTTTTATTATTCTTTATCATTCTTCCTTAACGACGATCAACAGACTTTATCAAAAATTGTATTCTTTCAGATTTGCCGTTGACTTCGACCAGCACCGGGCGAATTCTGCAAGTGCCGGCGCAGTCGGTGATATCTGTGCCTCTGACGCACACCGGAGTGCAGATGTGCTTCAAACCGTTTATCTCAAACTACTTGTTTCAATATTGCACGGAATCGGTAGACTGGACGATAGTTAAGAAGCCACTGGAAGTGACGGAGAATTACATTACTTGTCGAACCAATCAGAACAATATATTCAGGTACAAAACGAAACTTTTCCTTAATAAAATTGATCAACGTAACATTGCTTTTTTTTCTACAGAATGTGCGTAGCCGTAAGACGAAACAATTATCCTCTTGACGGCATACAAGTGTTGCCAGCGCACATGATTACAGTAATGGCTCCTGTAACGCTGACAAATTTGTTGCCATACGAGTTGATGTACGAAGCAGGTGTGGAAGGTGGCAGAATCGCACCCGGCAGCAGCGCGGACTTGCATTGCGCCAATTTGAATGAGCAACTGGAGATTACGATTACATTGGACGGTTATCCGATATCTGGAACGGTACATATATTAGTTAACGGTCATATATATTCTATCGATAATTTTATGTATCTTATTATTATGAGCTCGTATTTAACAATAATTTGGAACACGTTATTTTCAGATAACACTGCCACCGAACAGCTGTTCTTACACTGGCCGTATAAAACTGCTAGATCCTGCAACTAGGATGCTCTGTTTGCAAGCAGCTGTCGTCGTAGAGAAAGGTTCAGCTGTGCAGATGAATATCACCGCGCCTTATTGGATCATAAACAAAACCGGCTTGCCGTTAGTGTTCAGGCAAGAGGGAGTCGGCATTGAGGCAGCAGGACAATTCGAGGAGCACGAGAGAGCGAGAATGGTAGCGCCGTTGTTATTTTCATTCAGCGACGAGGAAGCGAGCAGAACTTTGTCAGTAAGAGTTGGCACCGAGGTGCATCCTTACGGAATACCGCAGTGGTCTCAACACTTTCATCTGCAGCCTGGAATTCACGTAAGTCTCAAATAAATTTTAAACAAGATTGTTTTATTTGTTTCAATACTTATTTGGATCTTTACTAATGTATTAAAAATAAATTTATAGAAGATGCTGCTGAATAAAAAATATCTCAATCACTTTTCTGAACTTCAACACCGATTTTAATACGTATGTCTTATATTCCACAGGTTCATCGCCTAAGAATTAGTCTGCGCGATGGCAGACCTGACATAGTGTATCTGATTAGCGTGGCTACTCGAGCGGCAAGAGGAAGATACAGAGCTACTACAGTAGTCACGCTATCGCCTAGGTATCAGTTGCACAACAAATCGTCTTGTACATTGGAGCTGGCTCAGAGATGTTTCACGACGACTGTTGTAAGTTCGATGTAGCCAATCTTGACGATATCAGGAAAGATTATATTAAATAATTTTATTGAATGTGACATGCCGGTTTCAGTTTCATCCGGATGCCCAGGCAACTTATATAACGACTATGCCCGACTGCCACATGCCCTTCCATTGGCCACGACTGGATAAAGATCTATTACTTTGCGTCAGAATTACTAATGTTCCGGATTGCATGTGGTCAGGCGGTATGAGGCTAGACGACAATTACTCGTTGACTATTAACGTCCGGGACGTAACGGGGAAGATGCATTTCCTACGAGTGGACGTAGTGTTGCAAGAGACCACTTACTTCATCGTATTCACCGACGCTGATACTATGCCGCCGCCTATAAGAGTGGACAATTTCTCGGAGGTTCCTTTGCTTGTTAATCAGGTACATTTTTATTTTCGAATTTTGAAAATATTTGTACTTTAAACTTGAATATTGTGTCTGTATGTCTGCTATTTTAAATCCTATATTTGTATATATATTTTGTATTAATCTCTGAATTTTATACGTAATTATTGTAATTGTTTAGTTTTAATTATACTATTAAATACAAATCTGTACAGATTGGGATTCCCGATAATCTACAATGGACGGTGAGACCGCATTCGTCGGTGCCGTACGCCTTGGATGAACCGATACAAGCCGCCGGTTTAGTACTGACAGCACCTGGAGGCGTGACAGCGTCTTATGACTTAAATGTGCTCGGAGAAGGCAGAGGATTGACCTATGAAAATTTCATTTACATTGCGTTTACAGGTAAACGCGTGTTGTATTTTAAGTAAATTTGCTAAAACATAAAGATGTATAAAATTGATTGTGTAATTTGTTTTGACAGGCACCTTCAAAACTGATTCCGATCTCGGAAATGGCGAAAGCGATCTGGATCCTCTGGATGTGGAAACTCAGAGATTGGTCCTAGAAGCTGGTGCCGGCGGCTGGGTCGCTCTTCGAAGGAAACAGTACGGCGACAGGGCGCAACTTTGGAGGATGACAGGCGACGGACAATTACAGCACGAAGGTAATGTAACAAAACCATATAGATACAAATTATAAATCGGCAAACTCGGTTTCTAAATTATTTCCTATAAATAATAATGATTTATATCATTTAATTTACACGAATCTATTTTTGTCGAGGCAGGCTCGAGTCCACCGAGAGACAAGCACTCGAAAACCCCGGACACGATATACGTTTTGGATATAGCGGGCACGGCGCCGCAACCGTTTACATATTGCGCTCTCGCCTTGAGGAAGCCGGATCCTAGGCGAAGATCGACGCAGACTTGGCGATTCACTGACGACGGACGTCTATGTTGTGCACATAAGAATATGTGCGTTCAGTCAAAAGACGGCTTTATGGGACTGTGCAAAGGTTGGGACTTGCTTTCATTCGTACGCATTTGGAGCGCGTACTCGCTTAGTGATCAAATCGATTTGGATTATTGCGAATGTTGTGTGGTTTTCGCACTTCATTATTAGACACTCTATCATTTTCTGTTGTTTTAAATTAGCTCGATTTATTATTTATTTGCACGCTAAGTGTTCTTTTTAATGCGTGTGTGATATAAATCAGATGCTTTATCTATAAATGTGAAGCATAAATCGCAAAAAAGTAGTAAAATGAATATCGTTAAATTTAATTCAATATTCAACGAAATGACATTCATGATAGGCTCGGGAATTGTTAAATAATTGACTGAAATTACGAAGCTTATCTTACGATATTATATTTTGCATCATATAATTTTGATTATTTATCGGTTGTCTATATAATTTCTCTGTCTTTATTAAGATTTACATTTTCCATGATTCTGTTCTCATCACTTTTGACTAAAAAGATCTAAATGGATCATGAATGTTGCAGGCGGCAGTGTTGCCCGTTGGCAAATGTGTACGTATAGTTTAAGAGTACACATAAAAATCCTAAAAGCTTTCCTAAGAGCTTACCATAAGTATTATGTGCTATATCCGCTTGTTATGTCTTTTTTTATCTTTTTTTCTTCACAAACGCTTTCTGCATTACATCACATTTTCCTGAAAACGTCAAAGCGCGATAAAAAAAAGAGGGATTTTTTCTAAATAAATAAAATTTCAAATTTTTATAATAATTAATTCATTAAAAGGATTAAAAAAACATTATCGTACTCTGGCGTATACACACAATGCTTTTGCAAGCCTTTCGATTTTTATTGAATATTTTCACATACAATCAAAGGAACATCCGTCTTTGTAGGGAGCGAGGCTGTACTTGGTCCAACGCACGATCTTAGTTCACCCCCGATCGAACAGCGAGTGGGTAGACAAAAGTTACGGCCCGGTTCTGGATTCTTATCGATCAGAGTGACCACTGACGGTCCGACTCGCGTTTTGCAAGTTCTGGACATAAAAGAGAGGGTATGTGGACTTTACATCACTCTTATACGTTTTGCTTCTATTAGTTCCTTAAACATATTTTCATGTTTAGAAGAAAACGTTCGCCTTACTCGAGGAACGCGATTGGTCGCACATCGCCGTGAGTCATCGACCGATTCAGATCGACGCCGACGTCCAGAAATTAGATTCTAGCGAATTAGATTTGAAGCTGGATCTGCCGTCCGGACTTGGACTGTCCATCGTGTCGCAGAGACCGGTGGAAGAATTGTTGTTCGCGCGACTAGCTGGAATCTCCCTTAACCTAGTGCAGACTCCGTTCAACACCATGTTGGATCTGAGCGTCGCCGACGTACAAATCGATAATCAACTGTTCGAAGCACAGTGCACGTCTGTTTTATTTGTGTCGCGATTATCCCGTACAGAGGACGAGTTCCGACCTGCGCTTCACGTGGCTGCCGAGAAACTGCAGTCGAAAAATCAGAACGCCGAGATATACAAGCATGTCATAGTGAGCGTGAAGCCCTTATGCATGCACTTAGAAGAGAAATTTATCTTAAAATTAGCAGCTTTTCTCGGAATTGGCAAGTCGGAGATGGAAGTTCCAGTCGACGAGAATGATTTCAAAGCACAACGATTTATCTCCGAAGTGTCCGCCGCGCACGCCAAAAGATATTACTTTGGCGCTCTGAAACTCGTTCCTAATCAAGTGCGTTATCAACCTATTAAAGACTCTGCTTTACAAATAATATTAACAACGTGCAATTTATATAAATTTTCTTTTTCTCTCATTTGCCAGGTGAAACTTAGTGTGCTTACCACAACAAAATTACCGCATCATCTGCAGGCTGTAAAAAGGAAGTTGGGCTTGACTTTGATTAACTTCGAGAACGCTACTATCGAATTGGAGCCGTTCGTCAAGAAGCATCCTTTCGAGAGTAGCCAGTTCTTGGTGCATTCTATCGTGAAGCATTACAAAGATGTACGATATTCTGAATATAGTTTTTACTTGCTTCTGGCATGTTTATTTTTTTAATAAACGAATCATGATGTTTCAGGAATTGAAATGGCAAGCTGCGGTTATTCTAGGTTCCGTAGACTTCTTAGGAAATCCGCTCGGATTTATGAACGATGTGACGGAAGGCGTTTCCGGGCTCATCTACGAAGGCAGTGTGAAGAGTCTAGTGAAAAACGTGACGCATGGTATTTCGAATTCGGCAGCGAAAGTGACGGAGTCTTTGTCGGACGGTTTAGGAAGGGTGATCATGGACGAAAGGCACGAAGAGGCCCGGCAGAGGATCCGGGCGAATACTACGGGCAGCAGTGATCACTTAGTGGCCGGTTTGAAAGGTTTCGGCTTTGGTTTATTAGGCGGTGTCACTAGTATATTCAAACAGACATACGACGGTGCGACTAGCGAAGGTTTTCCGGTACGTACTATCATAAAAATAATACATATTTAATTTTAAAATAAATATAGCTTTGATATAAACATTATTTATAGAATTATATTTATAATAACATCTATATAATATATATATCTGCATACATCTATGATCTATATAATACTTTATATTATATTAATAATAAACAATATAAAATTATAGGGCTTCTTTGCGGGTTTCGGAAGAGGAGTAGTCGGCACAATCACAAAACCCGTTGTCGGGGTTCTAGATCTAGCAACGGAGACGGCTAGTGCTGTACGAGAGACAAGCAGAAGGTAGTGCAATTGTATTTGTAACGGCTGCGCGGAGTGTGCACGCATTTTTGAAATAACGTCTACAATTCATTTTACAGCGCTCATCGTGCTATACCAAAGCGCGATCGACCGCCGCGCGTCGTCAGTGGTTCCACCGGATTACTGCCGCCGTACAATCGTCAGCAGGCTGAGGGCCAGGAGTTCTTGTACAGCATCAACAATCGTGATTACTCCGAGCTCTTCGTGGCTTACGAATGTCTGTGCAGCGGTTCGGAGAATCTCAAGGTGCTCGTGTCCAACGAGCAAGTGCGCGTCATCTCTGGCGGTACAAAGGCGGTGGTGACTCAAGTCAATTTGGCGGATCTTCTGCGTTGCCAACCGATGCAGAAGCCGCAAAGCAATAACGTCACCCTGTATTACATAGAGCTGATATCCAGATTTGATTCCTCGGCCGCAGTTAATTTAGACGGAGTAGCCGAACTGTTGAGACGGCCGAAAGTGCGCTGCGACAACGAGGAGGTAGCAAAACGCGTAAGTGCAAAAAATTATACTGCATTAATTTCAAATGCTTAATTATAAAAAATAAATTGATATAATTATTTTTTTTCTCATCGTAGTTTTACAAATATTTTAACACATTGCTATAATTAATATAATTTATATTAATAGTATATAATTAATTTGTCACGATTGCAGGTATCACAACAAATCAATTATGCCAAAGGAATGCACGAAGAACGCAGTCTAACGTTATCATCGTCGGATAATATGCTGGATGACGTAGAATACTACAAGTAATCGCACTCAGGTAGATCGTGCGAGTTTGGGAGTTCGATCTATGACACACGTTCTTTGACGAACTAGTCAAATCTTTATCTTCGTAGAGTGCACGATCGATAATACTTTCGTTACGACGCTTAATTTTAAGTTTACAAAAAGACTGATGTGAAGTAACTATCCGCCGACACACAAAGCGTATAATTCGAGCGTAATCCAAATTCTGCTTTCGCGTCTTGCAATTGTCGCGCACAGTTAGCACAGAGACTTTTGATACAGATCGGTAAGATGTAAAAACGTAAAATAGATGTAGATGAGGAACTGAAGATTTTCTAACGATGTACATACGATGTATACGTCGGTTCCTTAATATCGCATATACAACGTTCTGCGCGTGTACAATGTTCTAAATCGTTTCAATGAGGCTTTAGATTCAATTTTTGAATGAAGACTTAATAGAACATCATCAGTTGTTGTGAGCTTTTAATCTGTATCAGGCAGCTACAAATTTTATTATATACTTTGATTTTTAAATGCCTATAACTCCAAGTTTCGAAATAGATACCATTTTTTTCGCGATATTAACTTGGCCTTTGTAACTAGACACATTGTACATATTTATGTACATATGTATATCAAAGTTAATAATTATTTACGAAAGAGTGATCTACTTAATGCAATATTAGAGAAGCAATTAAACCAAAGCTTTTAGTATATTTCTTTACATTTTAGTAAGTACAGAGGTATTATGGGGCATATTTATTTTTGATGCACGTTTTTTTAATAGTACATATTTCTTTTGCTTTAATCACTTACGTCTTGTAGTATCTTAACATGCTATTTTGTACAAAAATAATGTAGATTCTCCTATGTATTTGTAAGTGTAACAAAAGCGTGTAAAGTGTACAAATAGATTAAGCTAGTTATATTTAAGTACTTTTGTAAAGCAGAGAAGCATGCAAAAATAACATATGTTTGTAAAATATCATGTTGAAATCTGTTAAGCGAATTAATAAATGTTATATCTATAATAGTGAGTCATAATCTGACGAATTTTTATGTTATATATTTATATATTTTTTTATATATTACAATTACTAATTTTATTTTGTTTTAAGATTGCTGCCACAAAAAAGATAAAAGGAACAAATTTTTAATATATTTCTTCAACTCTGAGCATAAAGAAATATGCAGGAAATGTAAAAAGTGTTATAGTAATTGTGTAATTGTGTAACATTTGGGAAGTTTTATAAATAAATAAAAATCATGCGCCATTGTTGGTGCAGTAATATGGCGTCTCGCATGATCGATCGAAGACGTCAGTTTTAAACAATTCGATTGAGCGTATTTGCAATGCGTTTAATTGGATTTTCAAAAGTCGTACGCCTTAATTTCCAGTGCTTATACCATCGCGCATCATCGATACTCTTGTTGTGATTCGTCGACGTTGTTTTTGATATACATATGTAACAAAGATCTTTCGGTGACAGGTAACCTTAAAAAATGGAGGAGACGTGTTTGGATGACGGACTTGCAGTTAATTTCGAAACAGCTACTTTGGAAATTGCTAATACAGACCGTAAGTTTTTATCGTCCATTTCTGTTGGGATTATAATTTTTTAGAAAGTAAATTGATTAATTATTCTGCTTTGTAAAGTTTTAGGTAATTTATAATTTACAACAGAATTTAACAAAATCTATTTAGCGTTAGGAACTTAAGCATTATCTTTTTCTTTAATTTCAGCTATCAGACCAGCGACAGAAAGCACTGATGGCACGCCAAAGCGGACTTCGACTTCAAAGAATGTGTGTAATGTTCCATTCACGCATATAGATGTTCAAACATTTTTTACTGACAGGAATGAAGTTGTGGAAAGAGCGATAAATGATTGCGTCGAACGCCTGATAAAGGAAAACAATGACGAACTTGTAGGAAGTTGGCTTCTGACAGAGTATGCGCTGATTATCTATGTTCTTTGTTAATTTGCGCAATTTTGTCCTCACTAGAGATTTTATTTATTTCTAGAATAAGTCTGTGGGATACAGAGAAGGAAAGACTTGTATTATTATCGACAAATGCCCTTTACTCTGTAAAGTACGATTTTATTTCTCTAAAAATACTGGATTTTAATCGAGTGCCTGTATCACTACTGGACACAGTAGTCGCAGGAGAATTAATTTACCCATCTTCATCTCTTGCACCGTGAGTATTAATAATGTTATGAATAATATGTGTACGGAGATATTTATATATATCAAAATATTAATTTGGGACAAAACATAAATTTGTGTGATCAAACATTACAATTGCATAATTTTTTCATATGGTTCTTCTTTTAAAACATTGATTGTAAATAATTTATTTTATTGAAGATTTGTAACAGGGCTTTCAAAGATATATGTGTTATGTATAAAGAATCGCAGCTTCTAAGTTACTGTCAATTGTGTTTCATATCGATTCTTCTAGACGATTAAGTGGATTGGCAGAAGGCGTATCATCCATAATTCATTGTGCAGTACGTCAAGAATGGTCATCTGTTGCAGGTTGCTCTGGTTTTGCTCAATTCGAGCCTAGGTATATCGCTTTGTTGTCTGCTAGCACTAATTCGCTATGCTTATTCATTTGCTTTGGACATATTTGTTTTTATCATTTCTTTATTGTATTGTACATTGTATCTGTTAATATTTATTTTATAATATGCTTTTTGTCCGTTTATGCTATAAGAAATTTTTATATATTTAATAATCTATCTATTTTATAATGAAAAAGGGCACATTTTTGTATGAAATTGGATTATTTCACGTCTTCATATTAAAGTGTTTGCAGGAACAGGATTTTAAATTTTTCAGGAAGCGGCGTATGCCGGGAATAAGACTTATGTGGAACAGAGGACAGCCTTTGCCTCTTGCAAAGAAATGGAATCCGTTTGCAAAAGATATACCATGGCTCACATATGCCAGTCATCCATTATTCTGGTATAAAGGTAGATGTTAAAATTAGATAAAATGAGGAAATGTCATAATCGGTGTCATTATAAGAAAAATTTGTAATGTATCTTTTACTAAAATTTTAATTATCAAACTATGCATTGGGGATTGAGATTGCAAATTGGAAATTGGAATTCAAAATGGACTAAGTTTGAGATTATTTAATTGCTCAAATTTTAATTTTTAATTTACAATCTCAATTTCCAAGTTGAACAAGAATTGACAATAATGAGGTGATATCTTTTTAGCTGGAACTGAAATTGTCAAAACGAGATTTGACATCGACGCCTTTCAAACTACGCTCAAAAGCTTACTACCCCGTGAATGCAGCGTTGTTAATTTGCCGATTATTGTAGAGAATTATTGCGGTCTCGGTGCCTTAGTGCACAATAGGAACGGCTTAGGTTTTTTTAAAATACGTGGTAAAGTCAGTTTCTAATTTTTCCAATCTCTTTCGCAAATACTGTTTCCTCTGAGCTTAATATTTTTTCTCACCTCTGTGATTTTGTCCTGCTGTATTATAGCAGTCTTATACTTGTACAGTCTTTACTAAAGAATAGCAATCGATATTTTGCATTAATAATTCTCTATGGTGAACTATATATTGAGATATCTACATAGTATTTTTAGAACTGCTAAAATTATTTCTAAAAAACAAAAAAAAAAATAAAATCTATTCGACAACGATAATTTTTATTAATAATTGATATATATTTTAATATTATACATAAATTATATATTTATATATCATTATTTAAATCTATTAAGTATACATTTTACACATTTACATTTATAATAATTATATATTTGCATTATGTATATTGAATCTTTTAATATTTTTAGAAGAATTTGATAGTTTATTTTAAATTTATAAGATTTTATATTTTACAAGAATCAGACTTGAACTTGACTTATTGTATGGCAAGTCTTATGAACAAAGATGATATTTGTTATCTTTTATCATAAGCTTGTGTAATGTACTTATATGTATACAATATATGTATATATTTCTGAGAGTTAAAAATATATGAGAAATCTTCAATCTTTACAATCTCAAATGTGTAAAAATCAAGTTAATATTTTAATTTTATCATTATATTTTATATTAGAGTATGTAGTGAAAAATTCTGTGACCTTCAAAATCTAAAGCAGCTGCTTAGTGTGCAAACAATACATCCGATCCGCTTTGTGTACTTCCAATACAATTTGCATACATATGCGTTCATCAGCTGATCTGTGTTTATATCGGGCACTATTTATAGGTTAGACTAACTGCTTGTCTGTTTATGCCACCTGTTGATTCCGTTGCGAAATATGAATATTATGGCGACACCATACTTTACGCCACCATATTTTATGTTAGCCAATTCCAGTTTAATTTTTATTTTTCAATCATTTTACACTAGATCGATTAATAAAATGTACTGATCGCAATTCTCTGGTTGTATCGAGTTTTATATCATAAACTATCGTGTAACCACAGATATAATTTTGAAACGGTCGAAAAAATTTCGATTGAAATATGTTATGTCAATGTAGTGAGTGATATTTATAATTTTGTAATGGTTTTATCCTACTTTTTCCTCGACATATGTAGGCAGATGTATGCTGCAGGTAATAATGCTATTAATTTATTTCAAATAATGTAATATGATATATTCAATGTATAAATTTTGTTGTATGTATGGTACTTGCAGTTTTCAAAATAAATCAATTTTGCAAACAGTATAAAGAAAAAAAGTAAGGCTCAAAAACATTCAGAATGAAATAATATCACAAGATCTTAATGAGATAAGTGAGTTTAATAAAGGTCAAGTGCGAGTGCACGAATGAAGTAAATTTTACTGGATAGTTGACCACTTGGCATCAGTGTTGACAGAGCTGGATAATAATGCATTTACAGATTTCATTGCTGTATTAACAAAATGCGTTTTCGATTTTTGAAACAGAGGTCTGTATTTTTACTTGGTTCAGCTATTGGTTTTGTTTTTCCATTATTGCTTTTTTTGTTGAGAAGCATATTTGTGACTGATCTGACATATGATCAAGATTTATCGTTGTGGCAACCTGAATATTACCTGAATAAGAAACCTTACCACGAAGAAATTATTTTACAACATTGGAAAAAAGTGAAGAAAACATCTGACTTTTCGAATATTGTTACATATCAAACTTGGTTGGCAACACAAAAATGGAAATTGCACAAAATTGATCTGGACAAATATTTATATGGTCCACAAGAAAGAGACGCCACAAAGAAAATTGAAAACACAGAATGGAGATGGTTGAGAAAACAAGTATCTATCACGTGTGTGGTTTTTGTAGAGAAACTCAAGTTAGGAAAATCGATTCAGGCCACATGGGCCAAACGCTGCAACAATATATATTTCTTTGGGCATCATTTAAAAGATACCGAACTGCCTATTATAAATGCAGACACAAAGATTGTGTCTTCCTGGCAATTATTATGCGAAGCTATGAATTACATTTGGAATAACAAAACGTTAGGCGAGCTAGAGTGGATTATTTTTGTAAAAGATCATACTATGGTCATACCAGAGAATCTGCGCTATATGGTTGCTCCATTAGATCACAGGGATGATTATTACTTGGGTCATCCGGTAGTTCTATGGGGCCAGACTTACAATGTTGCTCAATCTGGATATGTTCTTAGTAAAGGAGCATTGGCAAAAATAGTACAAATGTTCAATACTTCACAAAAGTGTATTTCGGGTGGAAAATATTGGAAGAAGGAAGATTACTATCTCGGTAAATAAACTGGCATTATACACATTTGATAATAATAGAATATATATTTTTGTGATACTGATTTTTTGTTTCTTTTTGCAGGAAAACATCTGTTGTCTTTAGGCATACATCCATCTGATACCAGAGATCAGTACCTAAGAGGTACTTTCCACGGTTATTCCTTGCCAAATCTTCTGTGGGGTGTCGTCAGACCAGACAGCTACTTTACGCGTGCTGTGTATCCAACGAAAGGAGAATGCTGCTCGCCGATATCTGTGACTTTCAGCGCCAGCGAGCCCGACAAAATGCACACGTTGAATTATTTATTGTATCACCTGCATGTATTCAGTGGCAGAGGCAGATTTGGTAACATACCTGCGAAAGTTTCAATACCCGACGAGGATGTAAGTTTTAAATTAAAATTGTTAATATTGTACTATTTTTTTTAAATTTTGTTGTATGTTAATGATTTAATGTAATTAAATTTAATTTATTTGCTAAATATAAAGAAGTATCGTAATAATAATCGAATGTTTATATATTTCAGGTATGGAAGATTGCGCTGCAGGAAGAATTCAACATCACGTTTTCCAGTGACATATCGAGCGAAACTTATTACGAAATATGGCATTCGAAATATTCCGAGCCAGGCCAATTAAAAATGGCCAGTAATTATAGAATGATGCCGGATGCATTTAATTGTTTACTGGCGAGATATCAGACGGGAAACAAATCTAATTTTAGTTGCCAAACTAAAAGTGTTACTAACAGTACAAGAACTTGAACGTAAATTATAATAATTTTAATTAATTTAATTAATTTAATTTAATTTATTAAGAGGAGAAGGGAGCACAAAAAGTCAATAAATAGCGAATATTTGCAAATCTTGTGATATATCATTTAAACATTAAAGTTGCATTAAATTAAGAAAGATAACAATAATGATTTGTCTTAGATATGTAAATGTTTCGTGTTGCGTAATTTATATTCGTTTATTAATGGCTGATAGCTACTTCCTCTTGTTATGGGCTTTATCTAATTAGAGGCTCATTAACGTAAAGAGCAAAAACGATAAGTTAATCTTGTTCTTTAAATTACGTCGCAACGTTTATCATAGCGCGCCCAACATTTATCATAAATGCTTAATCATTGATATGAAAGTAATTAGTACTCGTTATTTTATGGCAATAATTATGCGTTTTTTTTTTTAGCTTGAATTTATTTTATGTTTCTATTTTGAATAAACTTAAAGCTTGCACAAAGCATGTGGATTTGATGATTTATGGATGCAAGAAAGATATATCTATGGACATCCATATAGAACTGAAGATAATCAAAATTTTAATAAATGGAAGCTTAATGTTTTACAAGGAAAATTTAATTAAATTATATCAGTGTTTCATAGAAAATTTGTCGACGCTATGCGTAAGGTAACCACATATTTTTTTTTATATAAAGACATTTTTTATATTATATATTTATAGAGATACGCACAATGCAATTTATTTCACGGTGTATATGCGAAATACATGCACGTGTTGCTTGTGTTTTAGATCTGCAACCGGTTGACCCATATTTTTTTTCTCGTTTATCTGAACTTTATCACTTTATCACTTATCCGTTTCCTTCAAGAGGTATATATATAAAAAGGTTGTACTTTGATTTGCGCTTTTTAAAAGTGTTGCTTGATCCGTGCATTTCGTTGCAAACATAAATGTAAAATCTTTTCTGACGCGGAAATGCATCGCACTAATATGGTGCCGTTGCAGATATTTGGGCGTTTATTTGTACTGATCATCGTTGCAAGCAATATAATACAAGGACATGGATACCCGGAGGATATGGTCGCACAGGAGACGACCATGTTAATATTTTATTTTTCTGTTATCAAAAAAATTTTATTTATATTATAAAATACTCTATATTTTATCTGGAAGCAAGTTATGCAATTTGTAACACTACGTTTTAGTGTATTATTTTTTCATAAAAGTTTATGTATTTTAAACTGCTTGTTACTACTTTTAATTCTACTATTTATAAATAGTAGAATGTACCAGTTGTTTTATCTCTTAGGGAGAACATGCCAAACGATGCGCCAATGATGGGTGATTTTTATAATGTTAAAAGCAGAAAAGGTGGAAGACGTGTGTTCGCAGGAGGCTGTGTTCGTATGCCAGATGCACCTATAAACGGCAAAATTAAATGCTCGTCAAATAGGTATTTACAAACGCCAAAATAGTTTAATTTAAAAATTATTTAAGCAAAAGTGTATCGTTGAAGAGAAGTAAAAATTTATTAATTATTCAATAATTTTTCAGCAATATTAAATTTTCTGAAAATATTTCTGTTGACAGCGGCTGCACAGCAACTTGCGCGCCGGACTACAAGTTTCCGAACGGTGCGTTTTATCTAAAAATCACCTGCATTGATAAGGAATGGCACATTGAAGGCACCGAATGGAACTCGCTACCACATTGCGAACGTACGTAATAAGCGCAAATTTAATCTGCAACAAAATTGCAAAGTCAGGAAACTTAAAGAAACAGAATATATCCGATTTAAATCACGTATTAAATGTTTCACAGCGATCTGCTTGCCTGAGTGTCTAAATAAAGGAATATGCATCGCGCCTCATCATTGCGATTGTCCCGAGCACTTTACTGGCCCGCAGTGCCAATTCGAAGATAGACCATGTTTAAATTATCCCCCACCTGTGCTTAATTCTCATAAAAAATGCAACTCAAAGTAAGTTATGTGTAAATCTTTGCATATATATTTACAATTTTTTTATACTTCTATTATTTAATTTTTTTAAGGACGTGCACCATCTCCTGCCTGAAACATTTTACTTTCCCGGATGGTTCGTCTGTTACCAACTTGATTTGCAAGAACGGAAGCTGGGAACCAACCAGGAGCGATTGGGTATCAATTCCGGATTGCGAACGTATGTTTACACGTTAAACCTCTCTATATGCGTGTAAAATACTCGTAATATATTTAATATGATTATGTCTCAATAGCCGTGTGCGATCCACCTTGTCAAAACGGTGGCAATTGTCTACCGACGAATCTGTGCCAGTGCCCGCAGGATTATCGAGGACCTCAATGTCAGTACTGTAAGTAAAAACATTTATCTTACAATTTAATTTTATCTTATAGCGAGGCAAATAGCGATGATAATAAAGTTTATTAAATAAATGTCTTATCTTAATGAAAATGAATAAATCTTTATAAATTTTTCTCATAAATATATATATTTCCTAAATTATATGTTTAATCAACATATATTTAATATGCAGCTGCCAACGCTTGCGATGCCGAGAAGCTGCGTTTCAATGGCGGATATCACTGCACCGGCGTCGGCGAGACGTACTCCTGCACGCTGAACTGTCCGACGGGGGTGGAATTCGAGTTTCCACCTGCCGCGGCTTACATTTGCACCTACGATAAGGGCACTTTCGAACCGCAGCCGATACCGCAGTGCAAGGTCGACAACAACATCAAAATCATCTCGCTCGGCACTTCCTACAACACCTATGTACGAGAATCGAATCACTCCTGGTCGTTGCAAGATATCTACGGCATGGGACACTCACAGAAGATTAATGGTGGAAACTGGCAGCATGTTATTCACGGAAGCAACGTGTCCTCGGTAAATAATATATCGTACTCGCGGAATCATAAATCTAGTTTATCATAAGTACACGATTAGCATAAAAAAAGTTACATAGGACAAAAATAAAATTGCTTGCAAATTAAAATACAAAAATGGTATACGAAAAACATTGTAGAATCAGTATAACACGCATGACGGCCACATAACAATCATCGAGATGAGTCGACCGAGGCCGAAGACGTGCTTCACCTGGGGCGGCGCGCACTACAAGACCTTCGACGATAGAGTCTACAGCTTTAACAGCGACTGCCCGCATACGCTTCTTCAGGAGGCGCGAGACGGCATCTGTACGATCGTGGTATCGAACAATCCAGGCTGCGGAACAGGCTCGGATCTTCGTTGCTCCAAAATCATCAAGCTGTTTGTGCACAACAAAGAATATACGCTTAGCAATGACGAGACGGGTATGCCGACGTTTTCTAACAACAAACGATCGTTGCCGATACCGGCGTACCTGCCCGGATTGCGCATAGACAAATCCGCGCATTTCATCCTCGTCTCCCTCGACTCGCTGGGCGTGAAACTGAAGTGGGACGGCGCTCTGCTACTGCAGATCGAGGCTTCCGAGAGTATGTGGAACAAAACGGCTGGTCTGTGCGGCACGATGAACGACGATCAGAACGATGAATTCTTAATGAAGAGCGGAAGTTATGCGAAAAGTATATCGGCGTTGGCGAACTCTTGGCGCGTTGAGGATCTTGGAGGTAAAATATTGTTTTACATGATTTAAATTTGCATTGCTGTAGATACATGCGACAAATATGAAGATTATAAAAGTCTAAAAAATGTATTTGTGTCGCTTTATGCGCGTTAAGCTATCTTGAACAGAATCCGTATTATTAATATGATTGAAACTTGTTTTATTTTGCAGAAACATGCGACAATTATCCGAATATGCAACACGCGTGCGAATCGAAAGATGAATACATTCGAGACGCTTATGAATTCTGCATCAAGCTGCTCTCCAATCAAAAATTCAAGACTTGCGCCAGTACAATCAATCTGTCCGAACTGACCGAGGCATGCTTGTGGGATTATTGCGTTTGCAAATACGAGGACAGGAGGAAATGCGCTTGCGATACTATGGACGTTTACATTCGCCAATGCAGTCACAAAGGAATCGCGCTATTAACCGGATGGAGGAGCAACGATACTTGTCGTGAGTTAATTTTAAACTACTCTGTAGTTAACATTCGTATTTCGCAATTGTCTCTCTCGATTCCTAACAGAATAAATAAATAATTTTGTAGCGATTCTCTGCGACGGCGGCCGAGTGTACATGTCATGCGGCCCAAAGGTGGAAGCGTCTTGTTTCTCCGGTGTTGAGACGAGCGACAGTTCCGAGTGCGAGGAAGGCTGCTTCTGTCCGACGGGTACCTTGGAGCATCAGGGCAAATGCGTTTCTCCGGAAGAGTGTCCGTGCCGATTGAGGGGTAAACTGTTTCAACCGGGTACGAGCGTGCCGAGGGGTTGCAACACTTGTACTTGCACCTCCGGCAAATGGGTTTGCACGCAAATACGATGCGGCGCCAGATGCGCCGTCGTAGGCGATCCGCATTACACTACGTTCGACGGCAAGCACTACGACTTCATGGGAAAGTGCAAATACTATTTGATGAAGGGAGAGAATTATACAATCGAGAGCGAGAACGTTCCGTGTTCCGGAGCAATATCAGAGGTCAGAGAAATTTTCTTTCTTCCTTTTCACTGAATGGAAGTTCAGCATGTTTAGATCATTAATTAGATTTATCGGTATTTGTTTTCTTATATAATTATTTTACGTATTTCTAATTAAAATTGTGATCTGTTTTAGAGCATGGGCTACGCTGCTGTTGGCTCTCCGTCGTGCACCAAAGCCGTTACGATCAATTTCAGAGATAATTCTATAAAATTGAAGCAAAATCACCAAATTACGGTGAATGGCGACGAGGTAATGAAGTTTCCCATGTTGCTGAACGATGCTCGAATACGAATTGCGAGCAGTATATTTATAGTGATTCACTTGCCAAATGCTTTGGAAGTATGGTGGGACGGTGTGTCGCGCGTTTACATTAACGCTCCGGCTGAATTCCACGGTAAGCTCTTTGTCTCTTATTTGACTTAGTTTTGTCAACAATAGATTATAATTCCGAAGAGGATTTTTAATTGAATCATTACTATTCAGATCAAACGAAAGGACTCTGCGGAACATTTACTGAAAGTCAAAAGGACGACTTCGTGACACCCGACGGCGACATCGAGCCCGTGGCGATTGCCTTTGCTAATAAATGGAAAATGAACGAATATTGCGTCGATGAGCCTGAGAGCGAATCGAAACATCCTTGCGAATTAAATCCTCAACGGCGAGCAACCGCAGAGGAATATTGTTCTAAGATGCACAGTAATATTTTCTCAGGTATTCGTCAGAATTTTATTGTCTTGCATACTTATGTAAAAATTTAAATACGTATAAGCTCTGTACGAAATTAAAGAAAAAACAATAAATAGGATTTGAGTTACTGTACTTTAAAGAATTGAATAAAATATAAACTTTAAGTTTTGAAGAACATTAAAATATTTAATATCTTTATAATTTTATTATTTTTATATGTGATTCTTTTTTTCTAGATTGCCATTGGTACGTCGATCCAGCGGAATTTCACCGAGACTGCGTGTATGACATGTGCGCGTGCGAGACTGACATAAAATCGTGCCTCTGTCCGATATTAGCAGCGTACGCGAAAGATTGCGCGGCATTGGGCGTGAAGCTTTCGTGGCGTGCCGAGATTGACGAGTGCAAAATTCACTGCAGCGGTGGGCAGACTTATCAAATTTGCGGGAACAGCTGTACGAGGTGCGCTGCAATCTATTCATCTATTTCTTTATCGACTTTTTATTGTTTTATTATATTATACAATCGTTAAATAACATTATCGATGCAGATCGTGCGCGGACATATCCTTTTATCGGGATTGCAAGCAAGAGTGCGTGGAAGGCTGCAATTGTCCGGAAGGTCAAACGTTAGATGTGAATGGCGAGTGCATTCCGATCGCTCAGTGTCCCTGCGTGCACGCGGGTCGCGAATACAAGCCTAATCATCGAGAAGTCCGTCCGGGCACCAAAGGACAAGAGTTTTGCTCTTGCATAGGTCAGTATTTAAAGCACAGCGTTCTGTAATGCAATATTCTGTTCTCCATTAATTTTATAGCCGGTGTATGGGAGTGCCGATTAGCGACGCCGGACGAGATTAAAGAATATCCATCGGTGAAAGATCTTCTCTCCGTTTGCCAAGCCAGTAAGCATTTGGAAGTGACGGATTGCCAGCCAGTGGAGCAGAGAACTTGCAGTAATATGCATGTAGCGAGCGAACTGATACCATCGGTGTGTACGTCCGGCTGCGTCTGCAAATCCGGATACGTCTTAGACGCGCCGAACGGTGCGTGCGTCAAGAAGGAAGATTGCCCCTGCCATCACGGCGGAAAGAGCTACAAGGAAGGCTCGGTTATACAAGCCGAGTGTAATACTTGCACATGCGAAAGCACCAAGTGGAAGTGCACGGACAGAACTTGCGCAGGTGATTTTTTTCATACGTTATCGATATTTATTGATAAAAAATCTTAATAGTTTATATGCTATATAATCTTTTTGAATTCTACAAAATATATTTATTAATACAATTAATTATATATGCGAGAAGAGAAGTAAATAAAATTATTTAACAACTTTTGTCAGTTGTTTTATTCGAAAATAAAGTTGTATGTATTATATATTGTTTTAAGCGATAGGAAACCCAAAAATGCTTTATCGTCTGTTATATTCGTAACTGATTATCTTTTCTTTAGGAGTCTGTTCTGTGTGGGGCGATTCGCATTATAAAACATTTGACGGGAAGATGTACAATTTCCAAGGCATATGTGACTATGTCTTGGTGAAGAGCTCGTTAAGCAAGGAGGAGTGTTTTGACATCTCTATTCAGAATGTACCTTGCGGTACAAACGGAGTCGCATGCTCCAAGTCGATCAAGCTTACGGTCGGAAGCGGTGAACAGCAAGAAGAACTTATTTTGACGAAAGGAAAGGAACTACCTAAAGGATCTTTTAAGAGAATGACGATAAGGATCGCTGGTGTTTTTGTGTTTGTCGACGTGCCAGATTTAGGATTGGTATTACAATGGGACAAAGGTAAGAAATATATACAGAGTGTCTTAAAAATTAAGTAGATTAGATTTTGCTTCTGAAAATAAACGTTTAGATTTTTGCACAAATTTGTACAATTTATAATGTAAATAAATTAATAAATTTTATTTATATTCTATATTATTTGTTTGATTGCGTGACTTTTGATTTTGTCAGGTACCAGAGTCTATGTGAGATTAAATCCAGAATGGAAAAGTCGCACGATGGGTTTATGCGGCGATTACAACGACAATGCCGAGGACGATTTCAAGACGCCGTCCGGCGGGATATCCGAAGCTTCGGTCAATTTGTTCGGCGACTCGTGGAAGAAGAACGCATTCTGTCCCGAGCCGAAAGACATGCCGGACGACGCCTGCGAGCAGCATCTGGAACGTAAGCTGTGGTCGCTGCGACGCTGCAACGTGCTGAAGTCACCATTGTTCTCGCCGTGTCACTCAGAAGTCGCGGTCGAGCTGTATCTGCAGAACTGCATCTTCGATACGTGCAGCTGCGACACCGGCGGCGACTGCGAATGCCTGTGCACGGCAGTGGCGGCGTACGCGCAAGAATGCAACGCGCGAGGCATCCCCGTGAAGTGGCGAACGCAAGAACTCTGCCCGTTGCAGTGCGATGAAGGATGCAGCACGTATTCGCCTTGCGTCTCGACTTGTCCGCGCGAGACGTGCGACAATCTGATGACTGTGAAAGACGGCTCGCACCTGTGCACGGAGGATACCTGCGTGGAAGGCTGCCAGTTCGAGTCCTGCCCCGAAGATCAAGTGTATCGAAACGCTAATTATACAGAATGTATACCCAAATCGACATGCGCGAAGCCAATCTGCGCCGAGATCGACGGAGTGACGTACTACGAGGGCGATCGGGTCAGCGGTGACGATTGCCAGAGCTGCTTCTGCAGCCGTGGCAGAGTGATCTGCAAGGGAGAGCCTTGCACTACTACTACTACTACTATTACTACTACTGTAGCTGCTACCGTCACAGTGCCCTTGGCAGAGCCTCAGAAATGCGTGGACGGTTGGTCTGCGTGGATCAACAAGGATCCAGCGGTGAAAGGAAAGAAGTTCTTGGACGTGGAACCGCTGCCCAGCTGGATGGATCTCGCCAACGTGAATAGACTCGCGGTTTGCGACAGAGAGCACATGATTGACATAAAGTGCAGATCTGTCAAGGGACATCTGAGTCCGAAGGAGACCGGTCTGGATGTGGAATGTAGCCTGGAGCGCGGCTTGTATTGTCAATCGCATGCGAATCTTCCTTGCGTGGACTTCGAGATCAGCGTGTTGTGCCGCTGCCACGACACATCGGTCATCGTCGAGAATGTGACAACGGAAGTCAGCACAGGAGGCGGGCAAGAGAAATGCGACGAGACGCGGCCGAATTCGCCGCATCCGACCAACTGCCAGCTGTTTTACCACTGCGTTTCCACGCCGACGGGATACGAGCTGGTGGAGAAGTCGTGCGGTCCCGGCACTCTGTACAATTCGGAGACTCAAGTGTGCGATTGGCCAGCGGAGGTTCTGCGGACACGGCCGGAGTGCTCGGTTGCGCCTGGACGAACCACACAAGCCGGCGACAAGACCGATTGGAGCAGCAACACCGGCACCAAATACGAGAGCACGCTGACGACGTCGGTGAAGAAGACGGTGTCGACCACGCACGTGTGCAAGGACGGCGAGACGTGGAGCGAGTGCGCGATTCAGTGCACCAGAGCGTGCCAGTACTATCGGCACATCCTGACGACGCAGGGTCTTTGCGGCGAAGCTGCCGATTGCGTCGCAGGATGCGTATCGATCGACCAGCCGACGTGTCCGTTGCATAAATTCTGGAGGGACGGCGTCACCTGCGTGGAGGCGAATCACTGTTCCTGCACGTCTCACGACGGAATCTCGGTCGCGCCGGGCGCCATCAAGAAAGAGTCCGATTGCGAGACCTGCCAGTGTGTGAATAATTATTACACGTGCGACACGACTTCCTGCGGCGAAACCTCAAGCGGTACGAAATCAACCGCGCAACCACCACTTACGACTCAGAGCTCTTGGAGAACAACGTCCATCGAAGAGCACACGATTCTCTAAACAGCACGGTCACTCCACCCGCGGGGTGCGACGAAGCGAATTACGTTCCGTTGATGCAGAATCTGCGAAAGGAAGTGACTGTTCGCGCCAGCGACAGCAAGAATTCCATATTACAGCTTGAGGATCTGCTGATGTACACGGAGGGAAGCTTGCTTACATTTGGAAAATTCTGGGAACCGGAGACAACGGACGCAAATCAATGGCTCGACGTTATATTCGGCAGACCTGAACCGATTTACGGTGTGATACTGCAAGGCGGCGTCACCGAAGATAAATTCGTGACCAGTTACAAGGTGCTTTTCTCCGAGGACAGTCAGACCTTCTCGTACGTGCTCGATCACGGAAAGGAGCCGCGTGTGTTCAGAGGCCCCGTCGATAAAATCCATTCTGTGAAGCAAAAATTCTATCAACCGATTGAGGCGAGGATAATTCGCATCAATCCGCTGACGTGGCACAACGGTATCGCGATCAAGCTGGAGATACTGGGTTGTCAGGATCGCGTAACATCAACAACGGTAAAGCCCGTGAGACCGGTGTGCGAGGACTCGATGGGACTGGACAACGGACTGATAGCTATTGAACAAGTTTCGGTGTCGAGCTCCCCGCAGTTCCTTCACAATCTTCCGTTATCCTCGGAAGGCGCGTGGCGCGCCGCCTTGGACAATCCGCATCAGTACGTTCAATTCGACTTTCTGGAGGCTCGAAATTTGACCGGGGTTGCAACGAAGGGCGGCGACGGCGCTTGGACAACCGCTTACAAAATATTCTACAGCAACGACGGACGCCATTGGAATCCGATCGTCGACGAAGACGGCAACGAGAAAGAGTTCCTTGGTAATTTCGATACGGAAAGCCGGCAGACGAATTTCTTCGAGAGACCGCTGCACGCGAGATTTCTGAGAGTACAGCCCGTTAAATGGCACATTCATGTGGCATTGAAGATCGAAATTCTCGGCTGCTACTTGGCGTATCCTGTGTTGGAGACTACTGCAATCAAATCAACAACGACAACGTACGAGCAACGTGAATGCAACGTGTGCGACGGAATCGAGGAAACATCGAGCGACGAAAATTGCAGATGCAAGGATCCTCATTGGTGGAACGGAGAATCGTGCGTACCGAAGTCCGAGTGCCCCTGCGTAGTCGGACACGTTTCTTACGCGGTGGGCAGTGCCTACGAAACGGAGGATTGCCAGGAGTGCGTGTGCGCTTTAGGCGGAACAGCCACGTGCTCGCCGAAGAAATGCGAGCCCTGTCGAGAACCCAGTTTGCGATCGGTCGTCAGCGAGCTTTGCACTTGCCTGTGCAAACCCTGCCCGGCTTCCACTAGGCTCTGTCCCACGAGTGACGTTTGTGTCAACGAGACTGCGTGGTGCGATGGCGTTCAGGATTGTCCAGATGATGAGAAGAATTGTCCGGAAATAGTCTTCACGACGTCCATTGCGACGGAAACGAGTATTCAAGAAGTCACGACTCCCGGCACTACTCAAGTCACTCCGTTACGTTGTGAAGAACCTATCTGTCCGCCTGGTTACAGAATTGTCTTCAAGCAGTCGTCCCGGCTGCGCGACAAAGCGCGTCGCGATGTGAAGACGAATGTAAAGTCCAAGGGTCGCAACGGTCGCAAGGGTTTCTTCGAGACGAAAGGAAGCAGGAAGCACCCGATCTACAATCGCCCCGTGAAAGACCAAGCTTATCAGCAATCAACGGAGGACGTCGAGTGTCTCGAGTTCATCTGCGTACCCGACAAGTTTCCGCCCTTGCCTCCCGGTAAGGACAAGCCGAAGAAGTGTCCAGAAGCATCGTGTCCGCCGCAGTACGAGGTGGTGTACGAGAAGATAAGCATGTACAAGATGCACAAGTGTCCCAAGTACATATGCCGCCCGTTAACTCCGCAGGAAGCCGTCTGCAACGTGAAGGGGAGAACATTTAATACGTTCGACAACATGGAGTACAAGTACGACGTCTGCAATCATATACTAGCGCGAGATATGTACGGTAACGAGTGGTACGTCACGCTGGAGAAGCAGTGCGTCGAGTCGCTTGGACAGCGGCAGCGCTGCACGCGGATCTTAGTTGTGACGCTGAACGAGCGCGTTATCGTCCTCTATCCGGATCTGCACGTGGACATCGACGAGCACACTTTTACGGCCAAGCAGATCGCGCGTTTCGGAAATCGGATTCCCGATTTCGGACTCTCGCTTACGGGCGACAGGATCGTCTTTGTCTCGCATCGCTACGGCTTCTGGGTGATCTGGGACTCGAGTACCAACGTGAAGATCGGCGTCGTCGCGAAACTGGCGGGTCGCGTGGACGGCCTGTGCGGATACTTCGACGGTAACGTGACGAACGATCGCCAGACGCCCGAAGGAACGCAGGCGAGGAGCACCATTCAATTTGGAAACAGCTGGGCGATGGAAGACACGCCGGAATGCGACCAGCATGTCTGTCCGCGCGACGTTCAGGAACAAGCCTGGACGATTTGTAAATCCGTGAAGAGTTCAACGTTACTGGACGCGTGCTCTGCGGTCATCGATTTCGACAGGTTTTTAAAACTTTATTGAATTTGAACTTATTTGCATTTTAATAACTAAAAAAATGTTGAAATATAACAATTATTAATTGAAATAAGATTTAATAACAAAATTAGAATCTTAAAATAAGAAGCTTATTTAAGGGGGATTTCTAGTTTCGAAGACTTTCGAAAATAAATAAATAAATAAAACATAACAAATAAAACTATTACAGATTTGTGTCTCGCTGTGTGGAGACCTCATGTTCTTGCCTGCACGCCTCTAACAACTCCTACGAAGACTGCCGGTGTCGCTTACTGACGAGCTTCGTCGGCGAATGCGAGGCCGCCGGCGTTTCTGACGAAGATCTGTTACGAGATTGGAGAACCATTTACGACTGTCCCGCGCATTGCCCGCCGCCGTTCGTCCATCGGGATTGCTTCCGCAGCAAATGCGAAATCACCTGCGACAATCTGCACGAGGTGGAACCGTGTCCGCCGATGCGGGGCGTTTGTTTCCCCGGTTGCTTTTGCCCGGACGGTTTGGTGCGTCGAAACAACGAGTGCGTGCCGCCAGCTCATTGCCGAGACTGCATATGCGATGGTCTCGGCGATGGTAAGTTCATCGGCTTCGACCGTAGAGATTTCAGATTTGCCGGCAACTGCACTTATTTACTGTCGAGGAACGTCGTAGCGAGTACGAAGAATCAGAACGAGGCTCGCACGTATCAAATTTTGATCACCAACAAGAATTGCGTTACCGGAATTTGCACGGAGGCAATCACGCTCCTCTATGAAAAGCACGTGGTGCAGATAAGACGTGCGGAACACCTGAAGGATCTGCGCGTATCGATCGATGATTCGCAAGTGGAAGGATTTCCGCGCAATCATACATGGATCGTTCTGGACCAAACACCGGCTGGAGATGTGACTCTGCTGATATCGTCTGTCCAACTGGAACTCATCGCTTTTCAACATAATTTTGCATTCACTTTGAAACTACCTTCGCACATTTTCAGCGACGTTACCGAAGGTCTGTGCGGTAATTGCAACGCCGAAACGGGAGGTGGTTTTGAGAAACGCGACGGTAAGATTACTAACGACGTCGAGGAGTTCGGCAAATCTTGGCTGATCGAGGATCTATCTACACAATTGGGTCTAAGCGATCAGACGTGCTCCAACAGTCAACAGCCTCAATGCACGTCTCCGCCAGCAAATCAAGATATCTGTAAGAAGATCCTGGATTTGCCGGAGTTTACACAATGTCATAACATCGTAGATCCAAAACCATATTTAGATTGCTGTCACGACGCGTTATGCACCGGCGGAAATTACTGCGACAGCTTGGAGATGTATGCGAGGAAGTGCTCGGAAACTGGTCTGTGTCCAGCTTGGAGAACCAAGGAGATCTGTCCGTACGAATGTTCTACAGGTGACGCATTGCTTGATCTTTTAATTATTAAAGTAGTACAAAAATTATACTTATCAAATAAAATTGCTTTTGAAAAGCTCTTATATTATTTAATTTTTATTAATTAAAATTATTATTAGCTTTAATACACTTTTACTATTAAAAAAATATTTGCAATTTTTTTTAAAAGGACTCGAATCAGAGTAAACTTTACTTAAAATAAATTTAATACTAAGAATTTTAAAAAATATTTTCTTAATTTGTGCAACAAATTAATTTTTTTACTTAGGTTTTGTCTATCAACCATGCGGCTCGAGTTGCAAAGAAACATGTGACACTTTGAACAAATTGGACATGTCGGACGATGCGAAGTGTACGTCTATTCCCGTCGAAGGATGCTTCTGCCCGGAAAATCATGTATTCCACAATGATTCCTGCATACCGAAGAAAAACTGTTTCGTCTGCGATAAGGACGGTCACGTGGAGGGAGATATCTGGCATCCTGACAAATGCACCGAATGCAGCTGCAACGTTGGGATCGTGAGTTGTCAAAAAACGGAATGTCCTGTATTAGATACAATCTGCGAGGAAAACATGACACCTGTGCTCATCAATGGAACCGAAGAAAGATGCTGCGCCAAGTATTTGTGCGGTAAATCAATAGCATTAAAAAAATTACGTTTACAATATTACAACCGTTTATAACATACACTTTTGTTTATTAAAATTGAAACATTTGCTCATGATTTAATAATTTTCTTGCAGTTCCGAAACCGACAGCACCCACTGTGTGCGTTGAGTCGCAAGAACCAGAGTGTGGCTTTGGTCAGATAATGAAAGCAGTTACCGATGTTGATGGGTGTCACAAATTTATATGCCGTACGTATAATGCAATTCTTATAAATCATTTTCAACAAATTTGTTTTGTTTTCTTCTATAAGTTGTGTAACATTATTATTGTAATAATTTCAGAATGTCTACCTGCAAGTGAATGCCCCATTTTTGACGAGCTTACGAACGAAGTTCAGCAATTGCCTGGTTTCATACAAGTGATGAATACATCCGGTTGTTGTCCGCGACCCGCTAAAATATGCGATCCGAAAACTTGTCCTTCCGCACCGGATTGTCCAGATTACTATAATGTCACTACAACTATGCCTAGAGATAGCTGTTGTCCAACTTATGAATGTGGTACAGTATTTATTATTCATATAAATTATCAAATAATGTTGCAATATTAAACTTTTAATATAATTAAAGGAATGTGAGATACTTTTTTTTACTTTTAATGCGAATTTATTAAATTAATTTTCTTAACATTTTTAATATATAACGTGTATTTACCGCAAAATATGAAAAAATATCAATTGTATGAAACAAATGTTAAATCATATTTTATTTTTTTACATTTACACCAGTGCCCCGGAAGGATATTTGTTTATATACAAGTAACGAAGATCGAAATAATCAACGTGTAACAGCAAAACAAATTGGGGAGGAATGGAAGGACGGTAAATGCAAAACGTGTGTGTGTGAGAACTCCCATGATGGTGCTAAATCAAATTGTTTAATTACGGAGTGTCCAAGTGTGAACACGCATCCTGATGTAAACGATTATACATTGGAAGAAATACTATTGGATGATAAATGCTGTCCGATCTTTGAGCGTACTGCCTGCAAATGGAAGGACAAAATATATAATGTAAGGAGACGTATATGTTTTGTGTAATTATAACTCTTTTCATTATTGAAAAAATAGTTTTTAATTTCGCAACGTTGTTTTGACAGATTGGCGAAAGTTGGAAACCTAATATCGAAAATGCTTGTCTCGCGATGCAATGCAACAAAGATTCGAGTGGTGTACAAATGCTAACTAAAGTACAAGAATGTAACACTGTGTGTGACGAAGGTTACAAATATGAAGCGTCTATTGACACTAGTAGTAGTTGTTGCGGCACTTGTGTTCAAGTTGCGTGTATTGTAAATGGCATGCTCAAGAATGTTGGGGAACAATGGCACTCGGACGACCATTGCGTGGCGTACTTTTGTGAATCTGCGAATGCAAATGTAAAATTATTAGTGCACTTCGACGTATTGATTAATCAATAAAATTGTAAATGTTTTAACTAATATTTATTTTTAGATATACGTTCAAGCAAGCACCGAAACTTGTTCAGAGATTGATCCGCAAGTGGAATCCGAATTTGAGATAGAAACGCGCGAAATTCCAGGGAAATGCTGTCCAGAAATTGTCAAAACCGCTTGCCGTAGCGATGGAAAGTTGTATAAACCTGGAGAAAAGTGGAGATCTCCCACAAATAGCTGTATCATCGAGACATGCGTAGCTGATCCGAATATAACGAAACATACAGAAGTTGAAGTGTGTACGAAGCAGTGTGCTCAAGTAAGAATTTTATTTTATTGTATGTATAAATTTTATTCTCTGTATATTAAATGATTGATGTATTAATATTGTGTTGGTCAATTTTTAAGGGATGGTCGTACCAGGAAGCAGAAGATGGTAAATGTTGCGGGGAATGCAAACAAGCGTTTTGCGTATTTGAAGATACTTTGTATTCTCCTGATATGACATGGACGTCCGACGATAGTTGTACTACTTATTCGTGCATAGAACAAAATAAACAGGCAAGTTTTTTTAGCAAAAGTATATATATTTTTATGCTCAAGTGAAATCAATATTGTGCAAAAAAAAATTACGTATATAGTTATTTACAATAGATATATATTGTACAAATATTCATTTTGTAACTTCTTTGCATTACACAATTTTAATTATTTTAGCTATCACTTGTTATAAGTCCAACTGCTTGTCCAGATATAACAGATTGCCCCAGTGAATCGATTTATTATGATCAGTGCTGTAAACGATGTAATTTGAACATTGAAGAACAGATTAAGAGTAAGTGTAAAAATAAAAAAAAATTTATTTATACTTTTATTATATTTTAGTTTTATATTTATATTCTTTGTCTTTTTTTAGAAAATTGCAAAACTATTATGATAGATACAAATAGTACTTTAGGTATGCTGGTTGTAAATGATCCAGTACATGGAAAATGCAAAAACTTTAATGCTATTGAAGGTATTAAGCAATGCAGTGGAACGTGTCAGTCTTCAACATCCTTTGACAGCGGTAACAATGCATAAATTTAAATCTGTTTATTCGAATTTATTTAACTTAGCTAAAATGTTTTTTTTTTTTATATAGATAATTGGAAGCAAGTAAGTGATTGTCGATGTTGTCAAGTAGAAAATTACATTGCAATCACTGTCAGCTTAATGTGCGAAGATGGCAGAAGAATAAAAAAACCACTAACAACACCAAGTTCCTGTTCTTGCCAAAATTGTGCATCTTCGGATATTAAATACGAAAACAAAAAAACGAAAACCAAGAAAGTTAGTCCATAAATATATAAAGTATGTTCTTTAACCAATTATTTTGTATTCACATCTTTGAATAAAAGTATTGTATTTTAGAATGCATATAATAATTTAAGTATTTGTGAAATATTTATTTTTGTTTGTCTTTTATCGTGATTATGAAATAATTTTCTACATAATCTTCCAATATAACAGATTATGTATAAGTAATCATCTTATTTTAAATATTTCAATCATTTATCGATATATCTAAAATAGGTTTATTAGCCGAGACACACATTATATTTTTATTGATTAATACTTAATATTTAAAAATTATCCTTTACTTTACATTTAATGTTCTATAATGACAAATCGCATAAAAATACCTGTAATTTGAACATGTGTGACATTTTACATAATTAAAAGTGGACCAGTTCAATGCATAAAATGTACAATTTATTAAAGATACAAGTTTCTTTGTCATAAAAAGATTTTGAGTGCGTGTATGTATGTGTGTATAATTTTCCTAACATTTTATATATATGTATATACACATTTTAAACAAATATTCCAATAGATATCACTCATTCTGTATTACAAAAATACAAATTGTGTCTTT